CCCTGAACCCCTGAACCCTAAACCCTAATCCCTGAACCCCCAAGCCCTAACATTTCAACCATTTCAAATCCTTTTGCCTTTGTCCGAGGGCCAGGATTTTTTAACCATTTCAACCATTTCAAAATGGTTGAAATGGATGAAATGGATGAAATTCTTGGCCCTGAACTCCCGCAGAAGCCCAAAACATTAAAAATGGTTGAAATGTTTGAAACGGTTGAAATGGTTAAAGTTTTTATCCATTTCAACCATTTCAACCGTTTTGAAATGGTTGAAATGGATGAACTTTTTAACCATTTCATCTATTTCAACCGTTTCAACCATTTCAACCATTTCAAATCCTTTTGCCTTTGTCCGAGGGCCAGGATTTTTTTAACCATTTCAACCATTTCAACCATTTCGAAATGGTTGAAATGGATGAAATGGATGAAATTCTTGGCCCTGAACTCCCGCAGAAGCCCAAAACATTAAAAATGGTTGAAATGGTTGAAATGGTTGAAACGGTTGAAATGGTTAAAGTTTTTATCCATTTCAACCGTTTCGAAATGGTTGAAATGGATGAAATGGATGAACTTTTTAACCATTTCATCTATTTCAACCGTTTCAACCATTTCAACCATTTCAAATCCTTTTGCCTTTGTCCGAGGGCCAGGATTTTTTAACCATTTCAACCATTTCAACCATTTCGAAATGGTTGAAATGGATGAAATGGATGAAATTCTTGGCCCTGAACTCCCGCAGAAGCCCAAAACATTAAAAATGGTTGAAATGGTTGAAACGGTTGAAATGGTTAAAGTTTTTATCCATTTCAACCATTTCAACCATTTCGAAATGGTTGAAATGGATGAAATGGATGAACTTTTTAACCATTTCATCTATTTCAACCGTTTCAACCATTTCAAATCCTTTTCCTTTGTCCGAGGGCCAGGATTTTTTAACCATTTCAACCATTTCGAAATGGTTGAAATGGATGACATGGATGAAATTCTTGGCCCTGAACTCCCGCAGAAGCCCAAAACATTAAAAATGGTTGAAATGGTTGAAATGGTTGAAACGGTTGAAATGGTTAAAGTTTTCATCCATTTCAACCATTTCAACCATTTCGAAATGGTTGAAATGGATGAAATGGATGAACTTTTTAACCATTTCATCTATTTCAACCGTTTCAACCATTTCAACCATTTCAAATCCTTTTGCCTTTGTCCGAGGGCCAGGATTTTTTAACCATTTCAACCATTTCAACCATTTCGAAATGGTTGAAATGGATGAAATGGATGAACTTCTTGGCCCTGAACTCCCGCAGAAGCCCAAAACATTAAAAATGGTTGAAATGGTTGAAATGCCTTTGAAACGGTTGAAATGGTTAAAGTTTTCATCCATTTCAACCATTTCGAAATGGTTGAAATGGATGAACTTTTTAACCATTTCATCTATTTCAACCGTTTCAACCATTTCAAATCCTTTTGCCTTTGTCCGAGGGCCAGGATTTTTTAACCATTTCAACCATTTCGAAATGATTGAAATGGATGAAATTAGTGAAGTTCTTGCCCCTGAACTCCCGCAGAAGCCCAAAACATTAAAAATGGTTGAAATGGTTGAAACGGTTGAAATGGTTAAAGTTTTTATCCATTTCAACCATTTCAACCGTTTTGAAATGGTTGAAATGGATGAACTTTTTAACCATTTCATCTATTTCTCCCGTTTCAACCATTTCAACCATTTCAAATCCTTTTGCCATTGTCCGAGGGCCAGGTTTTTTTAACCATTTCAACCATTTCAACCATTTCGAAATGGTTGAAATGGATGAAATGGATGAACTTTTTAACCATTTCATCTATTTCAACCGCTTCAACCATTTCAACCATTTCAAATCCTTTTGCCTTTGTCCGAGGGCCAGGATTTTTTTAACCATTTCAACCATTTCAACCATTTCGAAATGGTTGAAATGGATGAAATGGATAAACTTTTTACTGCAAATACTAGCACTACTAGTTTTAGTTACTACTGATAACTATACAAGTCTTACTATTCCCTTCTGGTACTAACCTTCTGGTACTAACACTGCTAATACCGATGCTAGTACTACCCCGAGCGTATACTCACATAGACCCTAAAGGTCTATGCCACTTGAGGTTTATGGGGTTCGGGTCCCCGGAACGTCTGCAACAGTGAGGACAAAAAGTACGTTAAAGTTTCAGTCATCGCAGCGGTAGCGACAAAGACAAAGGCAGTATCAGTGCCCTCCCTGCAAAAAACGAAGCTAGAGCTTCTAGCTTCAGCCAACAACCTCTCTTCTTGTCTCTGCTCTCTTCTATTTGTATATATGTATATATGTATATATATATATATATATACTCGCCCCCCCCCCCCCCCCCCCCCCCCCCCCCCCCCCCCCCCACCCCCCCCCCCCAAGATCCACGCCATCGTGGTTCTTGGGGCATGGGGCGCGCGAAACACTGCTACGCTCAAAAAATTCCAAAATTTCCAACCCCAGAACTCACGAAACACTGCAATGCTCAAAAAATTCCAAAAATTTCAAAATTCTGGCATCTATGGCCAGGACGGGTGCAAATTCCTTAAAACTTTGGAATTTTTTTGAGCATAGCAGTGTTTCGTGAGCTTGGAGGCTGTAAAAAGTGTATTTTTTTTGAGCATTACAGTGTTTTGTGAGTTTTAAACCACGAAACACTGCTATGCTCAAAAAATTCTAAAATTTCCAACCCTGAAACTCACGAATCACTGTAGTGCTCAAAAAATTCCAAAAATTCCAAAATTCTGGCATCTATGGCCAGGGCGGTGGCAAATTCCTTAAAACTTTGGAATTTTTAGAGCATAGCACTGTTTCGTGCGTTTCAAGGCTTGAAAAAGTTGGTTTTTTTGAGCATTACAGTGTTTTGTGAGTTTTAAACCACGACACACTGCTATGCTCAAAAAAAGTGAGCCTTGAGGCTGTGAAAAGTGGTTTTTTTGAGCATTACAGTGTTTTGTGAGTTTCAACCCACGAAACACTGTAATGCTCAAAAAAAATCAACTTTTTCAAGCCTTGAAACGCACGAAACACTGCTATGCTCTAAAAATTCCAAAGTTTTAAAGAATTTGCCACCGCCCTGGCCATAGATGCCAGAATTTTGGAATTTTTGGAATTTTTTGAGCATTACAGTGGTTCGTGAGTTTCAGGGTTGGAAATTTTGGAATTTTTTGAGCATAGCAGTGTTTCGTGGTCAAAAACTCACAAAACACTGTAATGCTTAAAAAAAATCAACTTTTCACAGCCTAAAAGCTTACTTTTTTTGAGCATAGCAGTGTTTCGTGTTTTGAAACTCACAAAACACTGTAATGCTCAAAAAAAATCAACTTTTCACAGCCTCAAGGCTCACATTTTTTGAGCATAGCAGTGTGTCGTGGTTTAAAACTCACAAAACACTGTAATGCTCAAAAAAAATCAACTTTTCATTTCCTCAAAGCTCACGAAACAGTGCTATGCTCAAAAAATTCCAAAGTTTTAAGGAATTTGCCCCCGTCCTGGCCATAGATGCCAGAATTTTGGAATTTTTTGAATTTTTTGAGCATTGCAGTGTTTCGTGAGTTCTGGGGTTGGAAATTTTAGAGTTTTTTGAGCATTACAGTGTTTTCTGATGTCCAAGACAGGATATACTGATATACCGTATCACAAGATAATTGTGTGCTTACAACCGTTGTCAGGGACTGGAAGTACTATTTTGTATGTCTTCTGGAACAGCAAAGGTTTTCATTACTCTGGTTTGATAAGTATGAACAAGGCCAGCCTAGTCGTGACATAGTTTATTTCATGTTTGTTTTCGGAGGTTGGTAGATCTATGGCGGCAGCGGCACTGGCTCTAGTACCTGAGCTTTCTCGAAAATGGCTTTGGCCCTTCTTTGGCGAGCTTCACCGCCTACAAATCCAACGCCGTAACAATCGCAAGCCTATCCAGAACTTGTTTCATTTCATATTGAATACTGTAGGAAACGGTTTGCATTTGGCTATCATCAGAAACAATGGAGACTTCCTATTCGGTTTCCTACGATACATGAGTTTTCATTCAGTTAACTCTTATTGATGCTGTTCTATACCCCGGAGAAAAGTCGTAATTAGTCTTGCTTCATGTTTGGAAGGTTGCAAGAGCTCTCTTACGTGTTGCTGCAGACGAGCCTTCTTGTGCGCCCGCATATGCACATGAACTTTTCAACTCCAGGGGAGCTTTCCCATTTCTTATGAAGCAAAGAACAACTATTGGAGTGTTGCTTCAAAAATAAACGGGCTCGTATATTCGACTTCCTTCATGTATAATGGACAGGACATGAAAGGAGCTCTTTGTATTTCGTAACTCTTAAATCAAATGCTAGAGCGATTAGGCCGCATCAGAATCGGACGCTTCACGAGCAGCGGGAAAGAGATGGCCCACGCACACAGACGTCTTCGTAAGAGAGACAATCGTATTTTTATTATTAGAGGAATGTTGACAAATAACACACCATAAAATGCAAAAACAACGTGGTTTTTTAGTATTACATGAACAAAATTAGCACGCATTCCAGCATTTCAGCTTCTCCAACACATAAACTACCATAAATCCGCGGCCGAGATTCGGCGCCAGATTTTTACACATCGCGCCTTGCAGCAGCACGGTTTGCATGCACATGAGGTAAAGCACGATTGTATCGGTATTTACGGTGTTTTCGGTATATATGAGTTGTCGACCAATGTAGAGAAACAACCTGTGGAATAGCATGGAAGAGTCGGGTGTGGATCTTGGGGGGGGGGGGGGGGTGAATAATATATATATATATATATATATATATATATATATATAAAACTTATGTGTATATATATATATAGATATAGAGATGTTATCTCTCAATCTCTCTCTCTGTCTTGCTCTCATCCTTCTGTCTCTTTTTCGCTTTCTCGCCATGTTTGAGATGGTTTGTTGACATTCTTAGCGTTGTTTTTCTCCGCGGGGTCAGTGTCATCTGAACGGAAGGTGGAGTTGGCCTTGGGTTGGTGACCTTGGTCTCCCTCGCAATGATCTTCGCCGCGGTGGCTACGTCTCTGATCCATGGCGCTCTGGCATGGATTGCAATTCAGCGCCGGATTGTTGGGTTTGGGGTATGTCAGGGAACCCTTCGCTCGGCTTGTCTGAGTGCGAGCACCGAAACTCGAAATAACCTTTAGCCCCTGGAAAGACAAGACTGTCTTGCCGATGAGATCTTGCAGAAACACTGCCTATGGTCCGAATGCTCATTAGTAGTCTGGCTCCCCCACGAATTTTTGCCCTTTATCTTTTGGGGTTCCTTTGTTGAAGCTAAATAGCCGGAAAAAGACTCCCCTTATTCTTAAGGGGCTACTGGAGAACCTAGTATGACAATGATTCCCCGCAAGCCCTATTCCCATTATGAAGGCATCAAGGCCCTTCTATCACATGTTGCAAGGCTTACGCCGCAAGCTGAAGGCTCGGGCCCATGTCACATTAAGACATGGCCTGAGTCTCGACTGACTACTGAACCCGAAAGTTTAAACCCTAAACCCTAAACCCTAAGAAAGAAATACAGTGAAGGCCGTTGACCCTAAAATCCAACGCATCCTCGCACGGCTGATGACCAGCTCTGCGAGCCGAAAGCCCTCTGAACTTCGACACATGAAGAGATCCTACGTCCTCAGATTCACTTTCCCACAGCCGGGACCTTAAAAGCCTTAAACCCAAAATCCTAAAGCCGCAAAGCCCTAAACCCCAAATGTGTCACTAAATCCTGTACCCTACGCGCTTCTCCACCAAGCTCAAAGAACCCACCGAGGGATCGCACCGGACTGCGGCGGGTCGGGCTCTGTGGAGAACAAGGCAGTCTGCTGCGAGGTTTCGCCTTTCTGGAGCGTATGGCCTAAGTTAGGGCCCCAAACACCTGTGGCTTTGAGGCTTTGGGGATGTATACTGCTTAGAATCGGTATAGCCAAGACTTGCTGTGCAGGTCCTATTGTCGGAAGAATAAGCCGGGCAAAATTTACGTTTGCCAGAGTAGGGCTCGGACATGACACAGCAGTAACAACCCCAAGATTGCAGATTCTGGAGGGTTCAGGTGTGTAATGGTTTATGAAACCCCTGAGATCCCAGCGTTTGCCACAGCCCTAAATTCCAGAGTTCCTGCAGGCCTGAGCCCTCCAAGAACGTTTGCTGCAGGAGGTTGCTCTGAATTACGAGTCTTGTTTGTATGCTAAATACGAAGAAATCCGCCCGGAGAGGAATTGGGTCGAAATGAGGGCCAGCCCCGCATGAGTTGTTAGTTCATTCTCGACCTGCCCAGAGCTGGCTCAACGGCTTCAACATGTCTGCGCAGTTTACCAAGCGCTTCTCGGCGGAGCTTCGTGGGGGTAGAGGTCTTCAGGCTACCACGGTTGAGGGTGCAGGGATTGGGCTTCCGTGATCAAAGCAATACATCACAGAATCATCAGCACTCCTGTTTCTGTGCTTGCAATCCACACCATAGTCACCATCACCCCCGCCACTACTTCCCTCATCATATCCACATCATCACCGTCGTCATCGTCATTATCGTCATTTTCGCGGTTACCATCACCACGATAACCTGGCTAGCATGTTTGGAAGAGGCAGGAGCGACAACTTGCTGATCGAAGCTGTAATCGTCTAGAATCTAGCTCATCTTCGCTCCAGGAACTTAGGCAGAATCGAGACCAGTCACCCTTTTCAACCCCTTCACGTCCCTCCTTTCACGTTCCCTCACTGCTACTATAAGATGCCCTTCAACACACTTTCTGTAAGCCGTTTTGGAAGCCTGGAATTTCCCGAGGCAACCTTGTGGTCCGCGCGGTGGCCGTGATCCTGTCCAATGCAACCGGCTTCCCCGTTGGACGGGAAGGGCCGACTGCAACCCGGCTCACTGAGCCCCAAACCCTATAAAGCCCTGCCAGAACTGAAGCATAAAACCCCCAAGCAAATAAATTCTAAACAAGTGTAGACCCCAAACACCAGCCAAGAACCCCAACTCTCGACTCAATCCCTGCACTCAGGCCCTTAAGTCTTTCCAAGGTGACAATGGGAAGCAACATGGCCTTCCTTCTCTGCCGCGCTGTGGCCGAGACACGCTCTTATGCCAAGGACCACAAATTGAGGTTTGAGGATTTGAATCCAGGTGTGGGGCTTACATGTTTTGGTTGGATTTGGGGCTTGAGTCTTTCGAGTTGATCTCCTGGGGTTTGTATGAGGCTTTTCGGTAAGCCGGTAAGAAACTTGGTGAGCGCACAGTTTGGCTGCTACTGTGGGATGGTGCGAGTGGGAGACCTATCTCACACAACACTTCACAAGCATGACCCTGCCTCCAGCATGTTGTTGAGAAGTCCCCAAACCCCAGAGGACTCAACCCTGCAACAGAAAACCTCGCAACACCAAATCCCGACACCAAATCACGAACCTCTGTACAACTCCAATCATATGTGTCGCTTGTGAAAATATCGAACACTGTTCCACTCTTTCAGACCCTTCGTAAGATTGAAAAGGCTGCAGGAGACGCATCTATAGAACCCGCAAAAAAATCAAGAGACCCTATGGACATCTTGGAAACGCTCATATTGCAGGGAACCATCGTGCTTTGTTAGCCCCAACAAAACTGGTGCAGAATAACATGCAGCATTGAAGGAAGCCGGGCATACTCCTGAAATTCTATTTGAGGCCTAGTGGTGCCTGAACCTAAACCCACACCGCCGTAAAAGTGTTGTAGGATCTTGGTCTTCGCCGCTACATGGAATTGAGGGGGACCCTTAAACCCCACCATCCCGCCCCCCAAACTCCGAAGGGGAAACCCCTAAACTCGTGAATCCCAAACGCCTAAACGGCATGGAATCCATGGAGTAACCCATTTAGCCCGTTTAGGTCCCTTGCAGGGAGCCTTGTGCAAAAACAAACTTCCAGCAATCATTCCTGCGCGCTCGTCTCAGGAGTGGGTGGACTTGCAGGGCGGCTCACCGGGTTCCTGGGTTGTTGAAATCAGTGGAGATCGTGTAGGGTTTAGTGGCAGCGCTTTCAGTTGGCTTCTTTGCGGCGTTTTGTGGGTAGGTGTTTTAGAATGCTAAGATTCTCTAGTTTTTCTTTTATTAAAGTGGCCAGAATGTCTCTTTTGAGAAGTAGAGCCTTGCAGGAACACCCGCACCCCGAAGACTCACCTGACTCCAAACTCTCAACCCCTAAGCCCCACACCCTACAAGTCCAGAGGTTATGGTGTGTAATGAGCAGCACCTACACTTCGCAACCGTCGCGCCGCATCGTCACAACAGCAATACTAGCAAAGCAAAGCCTCCAACAGCGCAACTGACGCCATTATCACCCGCGTTGAAACTAACTCGAGATGAAGATATGCAACGATGTGGGCAACACACTTTTCGCAGCCCTTATGCCCGGCAGGGAGCGATGCTCGTTTTGAACCGGCGGTTGCGCCAATCTAGGCACTACACGCAAACATCGGCAGCTTTGCTGCTTCGCCGTTATTTACCGGATGCTTTCGCCATGGAGAGGTCGGCGCCACCGCAGGAGTACCTCGGCAAGCTGGCAGACATTGTGCATGAAGCCAGGCGTGCACCATCCTTTGAAGGCTCGCGTGGCAAAAGCCGAAGAGCTAATGAGCATGGTGAGATGCCATGTACATCTTGCGGGCAGTACGTTCCCACCGACGGGTTCTCTCCAAGAAAAAGCTGCTGCAAAGGATGTGAATCATTGAGATCTCTCGAATATCATCGCACATTGCGAGGGAATGCAAGCCGTTTGGTCTGTTCAGCACGGTCACGGTCGAGAAAGAAGGGCTTGCCTTGCAGCTTACACAGAGACGATATCTTCGAGATGGTGCTAGAGCAGGACGGGCGATGCCACTATTCCAAAGTTCCGATGGAAATTCTTCTACCCCACTCCAACTGGCGCATGTCTTTAGAACGGTTGAACAATTCTGTAGGCTATGACCGTCAAAACTGTGTGCTGATAGCAGCTGAGTTTAACTCAAGCGACTATAGCAGGTTCGAGGGTGTGGATGTCGAAGATGTGCATGGCACAGCCCAGTGGTCAGTGGACAAAGTGCAGTTCCTGTGCAGTGCATACAAGCCGCACGTGGACGTCCAGGTGCTCGGGCAGGATGTCATCGATGCCCATCGAAAGCCGTTCTTGTCAAAAGCACAAGCACCGTACAGCTACCAATATTTCAGAACACTGCGAGGCAGGTCGGCCGGTTTAGTTTCACATGCAAGAGACCGAGCTAGAAAAAGGGGTCAGGTATGCGAGATCAGTCACACAGACATCCCCCAAATGCTTCTGGAGCAGCAAGGGCGCTGCTTCTATTCTGGAGTTGCGTTGCAATACAAACGCCCTCACACTGATTGGGTCATGTCCTTGGAGCGCCTTGACAACAACTTAGGCTATATAAGAGGGAACTGTGTCCTTATCGCGGCAGAGTTCAACACGACTGACGCCAGCAGCTATGCAAAGAGTGAAGTCCACGGGTCATCGCAATGGTCGCTTGCGAAAGTGATGCATGTTTGGGGCAGGGCGGGCTTTCTTTGAGGTGGAGCTCCCAACATTGACCACGGTTGGAAGACGTGATCTGCCTTGTTCGCGACAAAGATGACGCCAGCACAGCTGAAACCTTTGATCTGGTTGTTCTGGTTGAGTTCTTTTCGGAGCTGCTGACTGTGGTCACTGCGGGTCGCCAGGACGGAATTAAGACAAGGCCGTACGCTTTTATGCATTCCCACAGAATTCCATGGCAAACTTGTAGATATCGCGCAGCTCATGTGGCAACGTTACTAGCGGCTTGCTGGCCCAGTGCTACATAGCACCCCGCCGTCATGCAAAGCATTGCTTCTGCGCTGCGAGGTGATGGCACACTTGAACAACCTGTTGCTTGTCCCAACCGTCGCTGGACCGGAAGCGGGCGCAGTGGCTGGATGCGTCGATACACCAAAAGCCCGACCTGGGCAGAGTGCATCATGCGTATTTCCGCTTTTGCAGAAAGTTCCATGGAGAAAAGCAGATATGACCGCATGCCCTCGACTTGCAAGGGAGCATCGTGTTTGGAGTTTGAGGATTCTCCATGAGGCTGCGTGGTACGGTGCCACTAAACAGGTTCAGCTTGTTCGATGCACTCCTTACATCTCAATGGTTGAGGGTTCAGGGCTCAGGGGCCCAGGGATCTACAGTTCATGGATTCCCCGGGGTGTGGGGATTCGGTTTGAGGGTTGATGAGCATGCTACATGTCCCTACAAGCTGCCAATGGAAGTCCAGCTGGAGTTTCGGGGTTTCGTCAATTTACGGTTAGCGTGGCCATCAGGCCTGCAAGAGGTGTGCTGAAGTAAGTACACTGCGAAATGAGCATCATCCATTCATTTCTCGACCACTGCCTCCGGAGTGTTAAAGATATGTTTCTTCACGCTGCATCTCCCCTCTACAAACCCCAAAGTGAAACCAAGCGGGCTCAAGTTTGCTGAACACAGACCCGAGTGCCCGAAACCTGCAATCGCAAGCCCTCTCACCCAAAAATCCTATCCTTACGTACTGAAGTAGCAGAGACTTTTTGGCAGAAAGCCTAAATTCCGAAGCCTTAACCCTTTTCGGGCCTCACGGTTGAGGAGTTTTGAAATTCAACAAGACAGAGACTTGGGCCCTACTGTAACTTCCAGGTGCATTGGCTGACGAGCGGTTCTTCGCGCGTGCCGCGCGGGTGGCCTGTGTCGTTGGCGGCGCGTGCCATGGCCCTAAGGTCTAAGTCGCACTCACTTAGGCCGTCATGTGCCGATCTTGCCAAATGGGTGATGAATTAAATGCAAAGCTTGAGATCTGAACTCTTTGGGTGTTTGTTGGTTTGGTTTGCCAAAGCACTCAACCGAGAATCTGCGGGCAACACCACAAGCCTCCAACATGTTGATATGCGTCTATGACCCCAGGTATGAGACTTTCCCAATCCATTGTGGCCCAAGCAGGACGCTCTTTTGGGGTCGCACGAGGGAAACGATACAAATTTTAGACCGAATACTGTTCATTTGCGGACAAAGCCCATAGGACCAGGACGTATATGACTAGATTTCAATGATTCCTTTGCTGTCTCACTAGAAAGAGCACCAAGAGCCCGATGCCACCCCAGGTGGGTTTCTGTTTGCATGCTTCTAATTTCGTGAATAGGGGTGGTAAGATGGGGTCCGGGAGTTGTTGTAGTGGTTTTAGGCGCTAGTAGGCAGACTTACCACATCAGTGAGAAGAGCTGCCAGGTGCAAATCCTGAAAGCGTGCACTTGTCGTTGTAATGCGGACTTTCTACACAGGGACCCTACCAACAATACTGGGTTATGATAGTTCAAGCATTCAGTTGAAGCGCAATCAGGATTCAGCTCGAGTTCCAGCCCGTAAATCCTGCACCCTAGGTGTGGGATGGCGATGATCTTCGACTCACCTTTGGGCGGGATCTTGTACATGCCGCCAGTCTCAGAAAGCTGGTGCTCGAGGTTCGCCAGACTTTAACGTGTTTGGTTTCGGGTTCTGGGTGCTTCGTAGCTGAGCGGATACACTTTACACTTTTAGGGATAATATTACCCACTATAAAGCTAAAAGTGTACACCTTTTTGGGCTTACGAACTCAGCAACTAAGGATGGTTCTGGTAAAGGCTGGGGCGTAGTGCAGGCGGTCAGATTGAGAGCCGGGTTTAGGCGCTCAGGGTTCCTTGTGCCAAGAAGGCTGGCAGTTCAAAAAGTTTGCCCTCGTTAATACATGGGAGTACCCGAAGCTGTGAGCATTGCACTGTGGGGTCATGTCTCAAAGGGCTTGTCCTGCGGTGTAGGGGAATGGGCTCCCATCTGCATGTTAGCATGGAAATTCCGCTAGAGGTAAGCGAAGTCTGGTTACGCCGTACTTGATCCATCCTGTTTGGATGCCGGGAAAAATCCTGCTCCGTGATTTCCGACTGGATGCAGCCCGAACAACTGCTTTGAAACCTGCGAAAACCACTACCACACACCCGAGAAGCACGAAACCAAAGCCAGAAACCTGAATGTCTCAGTCCGTTAATTTGAACCCAAACTCCCAGCTCAATCTGACTAGTTAGGCCCTGGCTCCTAGGCCTGGGATAGCATGTCACTTCCCCAACCAGACTGAAACAAGCTGATCACGAAGGTTCGAGGAAGTGACGAGCGTCTCCTGGCCTGTGGAGCTCACGTTCAAGGCTACCCGAAAGACTGAGCACTGAGCAACGGGGCGGAGTTTTAGTTTAAAGTCTCCGAGTTTGAAGCTTCAGGCTTATCAGGGTATCAAGTTTCACGTCAGGTTTCAACGTTCGGGGGTAAGCACCACGGCCAACTCCTAGATCGTAATGACCATGAACTGCAAGCGCCGTTCACGCAGGAATTCCAGTGCCTAAGCCCGAAGCTACTCTGGCACTGTGTTGGAGGTTTGCCTTTGGGCTTCAAGCTGCTTCTAGGCTTAAGTGGCTTCGGTCCCTGGGAGTACGAATATGGCATCATTATAAAGCATGCAGCTGCTGTAGTATCCTCTAATAAGAACACAGCATCCCTTCTTTACGGGCTATTCCTGAAGCGATAGACTTCCTAAATGCCGCGGCTGCCGTCTCTTAAAACCCTCAAATCTCAAACGTCTTAAAACCCTACTGGATGCAAAAAATCAGCAAGAATCAGCAATCCCTGAACTCCAAACTCTAGACTCCACACCCTCGGACCCCAAAACTCCCAAGCCCCTAAACTCTGAAGTCTACGCCTTGGTCTATAGTACATCTCTAATCCTTCCTTGCAGCTTATGGAGGCGGTGGTCGGCTGCACGATCTGCTCCTCAGTCACCTGCTCAGCATGGTCGAGGCTTTGCTTGTGCTTCTTCTGGGTGATATGGGAGTTTCCGAAAATTGGGGGGGGGGGGGGGGGGGGGGGGGGGACCTTATCTTGGGGTCCTTATAAGAAGGATCCTGCTCTTCAGGGTATTATAATATTAGGGCCCCCTGTTTTTTTGGAAACTCCGAAACTTCTGAAGGCCCAACTTGGACCAATATAGGGGCCATAAGAATCAATTACTTATATATTTTTGGGGTTCCGTATGATAATTATAGCATACTGGGCCCCAAAAATCCTATTCCAATTCTTGAGGCCTCTATATGAGATAGACTTGCGTACATACGTACACCGCAGCAATAGCTCAGTTGCCTCTTTGGTTTCAGCCTTCGGGTTGAGGCAGGGAAGATTCGGATTTAGCTCACAGGCTCCACACCTCAGCAGACTCCCCCCAAACCCTAAACCCTAAACCCTGGTTAAGGGCTTAGGGTGCCCTGAAGCCTCTGATTTTGGCTTATTGGGCTGCAGAACCCAGCAAAATGCACCCGAAAGGCTCAAACAAAGTAAACCACATAAGGCGATGAGGCCAGCTGCAGGATTTGTAATGCGTATCCCTTATCCCAAAACCCTGTCATAATTAGAGCAATAGTTGCCCGACTTTCTGCAAGGCTCTCCAAACTCTTGAAATCTTGAAATCTTAAACCGAAAAATCGCTAAACTGTGGCAGCACGAAGGCCTCAAGCCTCCAAAGCCTACAATACACCCGAAGCCTTAAGCCAAAGCCCGACACAGCAAGCCTGATTTCCCAAAGTCGCAATTCTGAACCGCCAGAAACCTAAAACCCCACATGTCCAAGACACCTTAAACCCTAAACGCCAATCGGTCCAAAAAAGGTGTCTTATGCCTTGCTGAGAGTTTGCCAGTCGAGCATCCGGGATCCTCGGTGGCAGATGGTGGCTGTGCTTGGGTGTATCGACCTCGTGCTTAAGGTGCAGTCTTTCAGGTTCAGTTCAAGGAATAGTCGGGATTTCAGGCTTTTGGATTCTCTGGATTCGGGATACGCGTTACCTTAACAGAATTGCACTTGTAACCCAACTAAACATCCCACCAACTATCGATCAAAGTCTCATAAGTTGCGCATAGTCGCGTTCTAAATACAGTTCCAGTTTGTTTGCAAGTATCCCGAACCTCTCAGGAGGGTGTCAGGAATTCACGGACTCTGCTGTGCTCTCAAAAACGTCAATTGATCGGACAAGCTCCTTTTTGCACAAAGACGTTTCAGCCCCTGAGCCTGTGTCGTACATTGAGACGAGATGCGCAGAGATGGCTTTTGACCCGACTCAAGCACATTGACGGGGACAGTTGAGGTTATTATTATAGGGTTTCAAGGATTAGGAGTGCAGGCTTTCTATAAGGGCCTCGGGCGTAGAGAATGCCAAGCCACAAAGCGCGACAGCTCACGTGCGGCACGTCGGAATTTCTTGGTTCTTGGAGTCCTTGCATGAGCATTCTCACTTTGTTGCAGGGCTGGATTTAACCGAAAATCCCGAGAACCAACCGCTGCTTCTCAGTACCTATACATGGTTTCAATGATAAGGATGCTCTATCTCAACTTCATTCCCTCTTATATTCTCAGAATACGGAGAAGCAGTTCGACGAGACTACGTTATCCTTCAGGAACCAACAACCAGCGGCATGCCGTAGCCGCTCTGTGCTTCGAGTTCCAAGTTTGTAAGGAGCGTAGGGTTTCGGAGTTGCATCGCTCTGGTGCCGAGGAGTTCGTCATCTTCGAGATGTGGCACCTTGCTCCTTCAGGATGGGCGAATTGCAACTCCGTGTTCAGCTTCGGCTGTAGAGTGTCGAGTTAAGTAAGGGTAAAGTATGGTAAAGTTCAGGGGTTTAGAGTTTAGGGCTTGGGGCCACCTGAAGAGCAGGAGAGGTTGACATGTTTGTAGATTTGGCTCATCGGGAGGCACTTCCGAGAGACCTCGTTCAAAAAGGGCTTGGGGCGTCGGGCTTCATTGGGGTTTAGGGATGTATAGGGTGCATGGTCGTTCGTGGTTTAGAGAAGCGAGAATTTGACTCTGCAGTCTCAATATTCCAAAGGCTGTAAACAGTACAGTATTCACATCCCTCGTCCTATCGTCAGCATCACTTTCCACATCACCGTCTCGCCGGCTTTGAGGGCTTTTGGAGTTTAGGATAGGCCTGGATGCAAAAGGGTTCAGGGTATGAAGGTGGTTGAGCTCAAATGTGCAAAACCCGGCACTTCGGCTTCGCCAAGCTCGTGCGTCAGATAAGACGACCTTGGAGCTTTGAATGTGCTCAAGAAGCGTGGCCCTTAATAAGTGAAGTAGGATTTGGGAAGAAGGGTTCCTTCGGAATGGGTCTATAAGGGCTAATATCAGGGTACGGCAGAGGTTCTGGGATCTGGGGGCTTTCATAGTTCGCGTAGGCTTGTGGAGTACCTTACATATTAGATCTTATTATGCGCACCTTTGTATTTGAGGTTAGGACTCAATCTGGGCCGTCAGCATTTAGGCCCAAATTTCGGCTTAGATTGTGTTGTTGGCACCTCCCTGCTTGACATGAATGGCCCCAAGGGCCCAGAGTTTGGGTAGGGCTATTCTGAGGGTGCTTCGCGGGTGCTACCAAGGTACCACAAGGGTACTCTAACGGTTATCTAAGCAGGAAGTGCGACACCAACGACCCTATTCTCATGCTTATCCGGGAACCCAACTACTCACACTTGGAACATCATTATCCTCATACCGCTGGCATACACTAGAAACAACGAATCCTAGCCCTAATTATCCCATATTATCCCTAATCCATGTCTACTTTCTGGGGTTCGCTGTAGACCTCACTTACAACAAAGGCTCTGTCACCCAGAAGTCCAGGGCGCCCTCAGACCCGAAGCCCGCTTGAAGACTGACACCCTGAGCCCTGACCCGAAACCCACAGACTCCAATATCCCTTAATTATGGAATATTCCTTAAATCATATGAGGGATCCTACTATAATTTAAGGTATATTCCTTAATTAAGGGATATTGGAGTCTCTGGGAACCCTCAACCCTTGTTCTTGCGAAGTAGGAGGCAAAACTCTAAAACCTACACCGAGACTGAGGTATGGCACCAACCATCCGGATTTTTCTTACATTGATTTCCCGGGCTTCATCATCTTATCTGCAATTCTGGGAGTTTTCGCCCCGTTGCACACAAAGCTGTGCCTCAAGGCGCTGGGGAGGGGTTGGGAGTTCTGGGGAGGTTTTGATGATGATGTAGGGGTTTCGGGCTTCAGGCCTTCAGTGTCTTAGGGGTTTAGACTTAAGGAATTTGTTTTCCGATACATCTAGGGGCTAGTCCCGAAAGCGAGTAATTAACCATTCTGCCTGCCACCTGTAGAAACCTCCAAATAGAAGTCGAAAGTTCATGGCTGCAAATGAATTGGGGCAGCATGGGTCGCAGCTTTCTGCACCAAATGTGTTGCAGGGAGCTTCTTTCTATCGTGCTTTCGTCTGCGCATGCAGCGAGGATGACATTCAGTAAGGAATAGTCTTCAACTGACAATATATCAGCAACCTTGCAAGCGCTCTCCCTCACAAGGTGCGACTACAAATAGACTTAACCCCCCCCGAAACGCCATTGCACTATGAAACCCTCGGACCCTAAACCCACGCGCTTCTCGACGACCCGAGCCGAAAGAACTCGACGGCTTGCGGGTTGCAATACCGGATTTTGCCCTGTCAGGTGTGTTCTAGCCCATAAAACAAACCTGCAGAAACCCGCGGGAAGATGCTATAGAAACCGCCTATGACAACCCTAAACCCTCAAGCCTACAGTGTGAGCGCCGAAATCCTACACTCATACAAAAACTCTGGTAGGTCATGGATTGGCGCAAACGCATCCATTCCGGACCTCTTCTTAGCAGCCTGGTCGGCTTGAGGGGCTTTCTCACAGAGCCCAGGTAGGGGCCTTACTAATTACCTATACTGTTTTGGGGGCTCCGTATTTTAATGATACTAGAAAGGAGCCCCGAGGCTTCTAGTTATTTTGGCTCCTACATTAGTTTGCCTTGATCAGGGAGATCTGGGAGAACCCCCAGAAGCGCCCAGAAGAGCGTAAACGAAGCCTGGAAGGATTTCTCGGAAGTGTTTTGACTCATTAGTCAGGAGCTGGGGCGACATCTGGGTCGGATAGGCCACCCTTGTTGTTGAAGAGGTTGCCCGAAGCCTTGAAACTCTAAGCCCAGGACACTAATCCCCAAACCTTATTGGGAGACCCAGTGCACCCTGAAGGCATGAGTCGTTGAGGTGCTTGTCAGGATGTAAAGCTTTGGTGCTCGGAGTTTCGGCGAGACGGTATGGGAGTGTAATGGAGTGTAAGCATCTATAAGGTTAAAACCCAAAAACCCAGCACTAAACCCGTAAACCCGGATCCTGCAGCATTTCGTGCTTTAGGGCTTTTGAGCTTGAGGCTTCAAGGGGTGAATGCCAGAACACAGAAGCCTCAACGCAAATCCCCGAGCTCCACAGCTATAAATTCCTGATCTGGCACATGAAACCCGCAAACCTTCCGAATCCTGTTCTGACGGACGCAGGCCTGCAAACAGTCACAAAGGCGAAGCACTCGAGACCGACGTCCTGCCCTCAACGCAACCCTTGCTGTATCCTTAGATCCTGAGCCTTTCTGTAGATCCTAAACCCCGTCGAAGTCCTACTAAATAAACCCTAAACCCTAAACCCTAAACCTAAACCGGCAAGGCCCAAACCGTTAAACCTGAGTCAGAGGCGGATCGAGAAAAGCGAAACACTCAAAACCATGGAGCCCAAGGCCTCAACTGAAGTTTCAGGGGCCACCCGCAACTCGACCAGCCCTAAACCCTAAACCCTATATTAGGGTTTAGGGTTTAGGGGTGGCAGGTACCCTCTAGTAGAGTCCGGAGTCTAGAGCCTATAAACCCAGAATTGCGCAGCATTTCGGGAAAAGGGTCCAGTGTTTTGGAGCTCGAGGAAAATGTCAGCCTTGGGCCAAAATGGCCGACACGGTTGCCTATGCTGCTCTTTGTGCCGCAGCTCCCTGGTCGAGATGAATTTGGGTTTAGGGCTCAAGATGGAGTTTAGGGCTTTTGGGTTTAGGGACTGGGGTTCTTCAGCCCAAAACTACCACACAACAACGCACTCTAACTTCTTAGCAGATTTGTCCCTCACTTTTGGCTCAAGCGCTTCGCCCAATCCACCGTCGCAGCCGCGAAAAACCAGCACCAGCCGGGAGACCATCGTCGAATGTTTCTGCCTCGATTCAGTTTCTAGTTTTCACCCACGCAAACCGGCGAATTCAGGTTGACAAGCTCCGGGCCCGCATTGGGCATGCGGCCCTCCTCTGACTTCGAGAAACCCTGAAACGGACCTAGGTCTTTGACTGGTGTGTTTCGGATGTTCCCCCTTCGCCTTTGCGATGTCTAATTTTGTTGACCTGGGTGCGTGCCTTTTGCTGTGGCAGCTCTACAGTAGCTGTTGATGTTTTGAAATGCTACTTTCCAGTTCTGCATCTTTCCGTGTGGGTTGTGCTCCCTCGTCTTCGCCTGCCTGGAGAGAAACGATGGGCGCAGACATCCTTAGTCTGTGCAATAATCTAGCGCGACAGGTGGAAAATTCCTTGCATTATCCCATAGACGGTACCGCCACCTCATGTCGCCGGCAAGCCAGCTGGGATTTGCGCTGTTGTTCTTGATTCTTGCATCAGTTCCAGTTCCTTCTTTGAGAATCTGTTCTTCCCTTATTCGAATATACGATCTGCGGTTCAGAAAACATGCCAGGACGATTGTGCAAATTCCGGGAAAGAGCGGCATTTGTGAGCGATATGATGTGCATGCATGCATGACACTTCACGACATGTCGCAGGAATGCATGGAGAGGTTTTATTCCTTCAGTGCATGCAGGCATGCAGGCACTTTTGCCGATTTCTGTCTAGCGAAACATTCACAAAGCTTGCGTGTGTGCCATGACATCTTCTTCGATAGAGCAGTTGAGCACGGTGTCCGAGCTCGCGCGAAAGATCGGCTCGGTGGGAACCCGAAGATGGGGTGGACCTGGGGCCCGGCGAGATTCCCGCTGCCATGAAGGCGGGTGAGGCGGTCATGGGAGGTGGAACATACAAGCATGCGCCTCATGCAGCTGCCTCGAGCGCCAAGGTGGTTGGCACAGCACCTCTTCGATAAATCGGCAGCGGAGTTTCGGGCCCCCGCCGGATTTCACAAATGTGGTGCGATTCGTATGCATGGCGAAAATGCCCATGCCTCAGGACTGCTATGCTAAACGATGTAACCACATATGCCAACAGGCGCTTAGATCCCTCGACCCTCCAAGAGGCTGCCGATCTGAAGCCAGCGCAAGCCGCTGCATAATATGGGTTTTGCGGCTTTGATTTTCCATGCCCCATGGGCATGGCCGGCATGCCAAAGCATGAGGGGTTTTGGCTGAGTTCCGTGTGTTGATCGTATTTCTTTGTGTCTTTCTTTTAACTTTGTGCATCTGGCGGTTGTTGCAGGTGCGAGTTGCCTGCACGAACTAGTTTTGTCGGTGGGCCTTTTTCTGTTCCCGTGCTCGTTTTCTTCTTCGCATTCTTCCCACAGCTTCTGCTTACTCTGATTGTCGGGCCCGTTGTGATACTGGCACGAAAACTGTTAGCCAGTTCTGTCGCTGGTTGCTTGTCTGTCATTTCTTTGTAGCTCTTGCGTTAAAGTGAGCCGTGTGTGGCTTGCCATCATTTTGCTGTCAGTGGGTACCACAGCACTCCACAGAAAGGCATAGAGCCAAGCTTTTCCATATATCATAAATGCAGCTGTGTGTAGTCGTTTTGTGTAACTACGATCCGGTCTTTTCTTGGGTGGAAAGACACTCATGAGCCGCTACATGTGCAAGCGTAGTGTCCACTAATAACAACAATAAGCTGAGCTGCCACTGTGTGTGATAGCATCAGGTGCTCCACGTGTTGAGTTTGTTTACAAAAGTTTTGTATTTGCATAGTTTATGTGCGCATGTGTCTGTGTGTACGCATGTCCATGTATACACATCTAGATATGTGCGAGTGTTACTATATTCCTTATGTGTAAAGTGGAGTTGTTGGCACACGGCGGCTCCACACCAAATTGCACCACTTCCCTTACTACCCCAACCCATGGCACTGTAGGCTTTGTCCCCTTCTGGTTTTGACCACAGGCCTAGCAGATTTTAGGTGAGAGTTCGGGGTCCCGAAACAGAGAGCCTTCCGCCCACGAAGCACCCCGATCCAAAAGCCCGAAGCCCAAAGCACTCTCGAACTTCACCTTGTGCCCAGAGCGCGTAGTGTTTCAATGAGTATCGGAAGAAAGACAACAACGCTACTTCATGCAGGCCTTCAGTGGTAGGATCGTGAAGCAAGATCCCCCGACATCGCCAAGATTCATTAATGTGATAAGACAGTGATGATTCTGAGGTTCACGGCACTTGGAGTTGACACATTTGTAAACCCTAGAACCGCAGCCTCACACCCTCATCCCAGAGCCTGAATCCCACCAACACATGGACAAAGATCGAGCTGGCAAAGCCCTCGGTGTGCCACGAGTTCTGGTGTTGTTCTTTCGGGTTTCGGGATTGGGCTGGGGGTTTAAGGGCAAGATGTTTAGGGTTTAAGTTGAAGGTTTCGGGTTCATGGTCGAAGAGATGGTTGGGGCACCGCGAGGACGATCATGGCTGGTAAAAAGCCGTGCTCCGGGCTGAAATTCTCGGGAGAGTGCCACAGAATACGGACCCATGTTTTACGAGTATAACTGTTGCTTTATATGCAGTTTTAGAATCGCCTCCAACTTTACGATCGATGGTCTCAACCGTTTTCTGCGAGTTGATATTGTGTCTTCGGCCTTCAGTGTTCATCCGGCTGCACGTATGTTTCTATATTACCTCGTTATGTATACTTTCTGGCAGTATGCGCAACACGGGCGCGCATGTCGTGGCTTACTGAAATAAAGTTAGTATGTGCAAGGTGGAGACGGCCGCCAATTCGATACATCCGGAAAACAACCTACGCGAAACCCAAACAAGTTCTTGAGAGCCTGAAGCTTATGAGCAGCAGCGGCAGTAAGAAACATGACTGAATCCAATTTTCGGCCCCAGAACCCTAACCCGCCCGTCGCAAGACCCTGAGCCTCAATTCTGCCCTGAACTCGAAAATTTTTATGAGCCTTATGCGCGACACCTTGAACTAGAGGCTAAATGCACCCTCTTGCACGACTGAAGCCTTCTTCCAGAAATTTATCCCAGCTTTAACCTTAGTTCCTACAGGTCACTGTTGTTTACAATAAAGTTACCAAACCCTCACCCCCAACACTAGCCTTGCCTGCCGCGTGCGAGTGTGAGCCTGGAAACCCTAGGTTGTCGCGCTGACAAGCATCCTCGGCAGTTGTCAGGCTCTGCCGAAGCTGACATCCGAGCTCAGTTCCTTGAAGGGTTCCCTCAAAGGGTTCCTACAGGGAGAATCTAAGGGTACATAAGGGGCATAGGGTTTCTGAACTTTCAGTGGAGAGGGTAGGCAGGTCGTGAATCATGGTTGGGCGGGGGTGGTTTAAGAACTCTTCCGCATGCTCTGGTTTGAGTTTTGATCAGTGGTCGCTTGTTCGAGCTTTCGATGTGTAGACACCAAGCCCAACACCTTACCTTACGCTGCCCTCTCCCTTAAAGAAAATGAAGAAAGCCAAGGGAGGAGCCAGACGTTTAAAATCAAGAGGGGTTTTGAACACGCGCTTCAGAAAGGAGTTTGAATAAATAAACGCTAGTGATTCGTGATAATGTACCTATGTACTTTGTTTTTGAGCGTAGATCCCAAACAGTGAGCGCGACGACCATGATGACCACGACCACTGGGACCACCAGGACTATCACGACGACCACTATGACCAGGACAACACTGAGACCACCAGAGACCAGAGACGACCAAGACGCACCAAGAAACCACCCAAAAGACCACCAGGACACCTCTGCATTACGGCCAAATTGCTTTCCTGGCGGGATTCAGGAAGTACTGAGCGGGATCCAGGACCACAGCCGAAATGCTTCCCCCAAGTGTTGGCGAGATTAAGAACTCGCCAGAGCACGGCCCGAAATGCTTTGCTCAAGCGCTCGCGCGGTTCGGTTGGTGGGCAAAAAAATATGCACCATGGCAAAGCGGGACACCGTTCGGAACTTTGTTAAGTCTACTCCAAAGCAGTTAAGGCCGTTGGAATGGTTTTGGGTGCAGGGTTTTATGTAGGGACCTGATTTCAGGAACCCTGGCCCTATAACCCCCAATATAGTAGGATTCATACAAGGAACCCAAATCAAGGCCCAAGGTTTCTTAATCAGGTTCCTACATTAGCTCTTCGGCCGGGGGGCTTCAGGGAGGGTGGTTATGAAGTTATGAAGGCTTCCACAAAAATGCAGCAGTCGAAGTGGGAACCTTAATTCTGGAATCCTAGGCCTGAAATTCGCGAAAACCGAAATTGCCCTGAAAGCCCTAAACGCAGCCCCAAAACCCCTGCCCCTTACAAGCCGTAGAGGACCCGATAGAGCCCTTCCTAGAAACCCAAAAGGCCCTTGTCTGCAGTTAAGTTCAGCACCAGTGTCCCGAAGGAAAAAACTTTAAACCCTTGACCAAAAACCATGCACCCCAAGCATGACAAAAACATACGCACAAAGCCAAACCCAAAAAGAAACCTCTCTGAGGTTACGTTCAGTACCAGTGTCCTGAAGGAGAATACAATCCAACAGCTTCCCTTCTGCCTCTTGGCGGAGGAGCTTACTGGTAGCAGCTTTGTAAGGTTTCGGGATTTAGGGGTTTGGCGGTTTAGGGTTTAGAGGTTTTGCAGTTGCTGATCCTCAAATTGGATCAGGCTTTCATAGGTGCAGCGTCGTAAAGTTTTTACATGGTTTACAATTTATTTCGCACCATTGGGGGTTGAGGGCTCGCCTATGGCTTGGAAGGCCTACATCTTTTCGGTTCCTTACTACGAAATCCTTACATTTCCCCTCGAAAAGGTAGCACTGGTACGGTTTTCGGCAGGGCTTAATGCCCTCAGCCTTACGCATTATGCCCCAAGCCCCCGAGACCCAAGACCTCTAGACCCAGAAACCCTACACCTCAAGCAGAAATTAAGATAGCACGGTTCGCCTCTACCTGTGAACATAAGCAGCTCTAAACCTCCAGAGACTCCAATCTTCCTTGTTTGAGGAATATACCTTAAGTTATCGTAGGATCCCTAATGTGATCTAAGGACTATTCCTTTCTTTCAGGGATTTTGGAGTTTCTGGGCCCTAAGCCCAGACACTGAACCCTAAAACCCCCAACACTAAGGGTAAAATAAAGCCATTATATACCCATTATACAGCCAATTATGGGGTAGGGGTCCCTTTGATCAACCCTCAAAGCAACTAAGGCTGACGACTGCAGAAGGCGCCGTCAAGCGGCTTTTCAATCGCCGGCGACGTGGCGGCAACAGCCCAAAGGCTCCAACGTGGGGAGGCAAGGTTTGGGGCTTAGGGTTCAGGGTTCGGGGCTTGTTGGGGGCAGCTTTAAATCTGGATCCACATTCCAAAAAAACAAACACAAGCAGAACATATGTTGTACTCCAAAGCCCTGTTCTTATCATTACGGTCCCTATATTACATGCAAGGCTACCATCACAACAGGCGAGGAAACATTTTGAGAAAACTCTGTAAGTGGGTCGATTGTTCCAGCAAGCTCCCAACAGTTGACACTTGGAACATGGATTCAGAGGTTAAGGTTTAGGAGTTTAAGGTTTATTGATACCCTCATTTTAATCTAGCAGTTGCCCATTTGCGCCCTAGAGCTTCCAAGCATATAGGCTTACGGCTTGCGCTTTGGGTGAACCTCGTGATCTCGGTGTTAGAGTATTTGACGGACGACCCCCACCTTAGTCGTTGAAGTTTCGGGGATGTCTGGGAGAGGGAGAGAGGCTTCATTCCTGGTAGCTGCGTAGCATGGAAGCCGAGGAACCATGGGGCTTTCGGCCCCTCGCCGGCAGATCAGTGTGATAGCATTAATATCATAATATTATTATATATGAAAAGTATTTATGTTGAAAGAATATGAACCGGATTGCTCTTTTGAACAATTACAATTATTATTATTATTACTATTATTATTATTCTTATTATTCTTATTATTCTTATTATTCTTATTATTCTTATTATTATTATTACTATTATTATTATTATTATTATTAGTATTATTATTCTTATTATTCTTATTATTCTTATTATTCTTATTATTCTTATTATTATTATTATTTCTATTATTATTATTTCTATTATTACTATTATTACTATTATTATTATTATTATTATTACTATTATTGTTATTATTATTGTTATTATTATTGTTGTTATTATTATTATCATTATTATTATTGAAATTAATATTATTATTGAAATTAATATTATTAATATTATTATTATTATTAGTCCTGCTGCTTTTGGAGCTCAAGCCGCTCAAGCCTGGCAGCCGGCTGCTTCCCCCTCAGCGTAAACTCTAAGCCCTAAAACTCTAAGCCCTGAACTGTAAGCGTGGTGGGGGTTGTGGTGGTGGTGGTCGGTGGCGGGGCGGTGGGGGTGAGGGTGGGGGTAGGGGGTAAAATAGGAAAGACGTGTTTCGAATGTCGTGTTTTGCAGGTATCCTGGGAGGTTTCGTTGCGCCGCTCTGCTGCACTTCTGCTGGCTACACGCCAATGTACGCAGCAGGCCTTGTTAAGCATGGCAGCGTATATGTATATACATATATATGTGTGTGTGTATATACATATATATATATATATATATATATACACACACACTTTCCGAATATCTGCAAACCAAGCCCTAAACTCCAACCCACCTGAGGAAAGTCGACGTCTCAATTTCATGTGACAGCTTTTCTTGCATCAGCAGGAGTCGCAGACAGGTGGTAGAGGGTTTCGAGGTTAAGAACTCTGGGGTTTAGGTTTGGGGGATGTGGGCATAAGGGCCAGGATGGGTTTCGGCAGGAGCATCGAGATTCTCTCGGCTCAACTTGCGTGTGCTACTATAGGAACCTGATTAGGAAACCTTGGGCTTTCATTAGGGTTCCTTTACATGAATCCCACTATATTGGGGTTGTAGGGCCAGGGTTTCTTCATCAGGTTCCTACATTACTACTGAGTGCGGCCATCTTGTCAAGCAGGCTTGTACTGGGATGCTCCTGCAAAACGAGGGCGGGCAGCCCGCAAACAGCTTGCACTGAAGCCTTGTAGCGCCCTCAACAGTAACCCCGAGCCCAAACTTTATTTGGTTTCTTTCCGGAGCTGTCTGTCTAAGACTCTGTGTGTTCTTGTTTAGGTGTTGGCTGGTCTTGGGTTCTGGTTTCTTGCAGAGGGATCTCCAGCAGAAGCTGTTGCTTGTCTTCCGAGGGGAGCGGAGGTCTACTTGGAGGTTGAGGGGACTTTGAAGTAGAGTTATTAGTAAGGTAACTCTATATAGTTATATCTACTTACAACCCCAAGTAAGGAACGAATGACCCTACTTACTACGTCCCCCGATCCTCCAAGTAGAGGAGTCGTCCCGAGGCTTTTGTCGTACACCACTCTGAATATCGGTTTCGCTGGGCTGCCGGTGCCGTCTGGCAACTTCACCGGTACCATGCGCCTGGGCCGAAGGCTTAAACCACCTCAACCCTTAAGTGTCAATAGATTATGGGAGTTTCCGAAAGTAGGGGAAAGTACCCTAAATAGTGGGATCCTTATTATAAGGACTAATTAATAAGGACCCCCCCCCCCCAAATAAGGTACCCCTAATTTTCGGAAACTCCCATATACTTCCGGGAACCTCAAACCCACGATCGCAGACCCTTGGAGCTCAGGACAGGAGACCACTTTTCTCTGAAGGTGATTGATGTCTGGATTTGGGGTTTAGGGTTCAAGTTGTAGGTTTTGTAACAAAATATAGTCAAGGACAAAGCATAGTCGGCACCTTGCACCCAGGCAGGAAGACAAGCTTCTGTTGCAAAACAAGTAAGAGCAAGCATGAGTGCTGCAGTATGGGGACCGCGGTCACCACTTACTCTAGGCCCAAACAAGCCCTTTCAGGAGTTTCACGCGCACCCGATGCAAATGGAATTTCGCTAAGCCTGTTGTGAGGGTCCTGGCTACGACAGCTACGGATTGCTCCTTTGCATGTGGGTGGTTGTCAAAATTATGGTCCCTTTTTGGATACCCTAAATATTAAGTGCCGTACCAGATTAGGGACCCAAAAAGGGACCATACTTTTGACAACCACCCACGTGGAAGTGGCAACCTTCGTTAGGTTATTCGCATGTCTCCCGAGCCTCAACCCTAGTGCCTAGCCTTCCCTAACTTACCTTTGGTTAGTAAGGGAATGAAGGAAAGGGGTACAATTATAACTACTATGACTACCAATCTTCCATTCCCTACTAACCAAAGGTAAGGAGTGCGAGCGTCGAAGCCCGAAGACAGGAGCTGTGTCGGAATGTCTTCATTTGATGGAAGCGATCTGTTGGAGTCCTGTTTGTGCTTTCTTTGCTGCATAACATGTGCTGATCATATTACAAGGGCCTTAGGGTTTAGGGCTTAGGGGGTTAGGGTTTAGGGGTTTAGGGTTTGCCTGACTACTTAGAAAAAGATTGACCTTGTAATAGTCCGTAGAAAACTATAGTACACAAGGCCCGGCTTTCAACATGTCGACTGCCGACTTACGCCATGTACACCCCTAAGCCCTGACCTAAACCGCAAACCCTACAGTGTCGGCTATGCCTACCGTGCGCGAGTGTGTGAGTTGAAAGCCGGATTTGTTGTTCTTATAGGGACCCATTTTAAGGGGGGTTATATGGGACGTCCCTATCCTAATATGTGCTTATGTGCTGTTTTTGGGCCCTATCTTACCCTCTCCCACCAAGATTGTGAACAAATGTCTATGCAGTTTGCGGTTCCACTCCTCAGACCTCGAATCACACGCCTCGCCTGGATTGTCCGAGTGTGGCCGCTGCAACCCTAAAAGAACTGGGTGAGCATGTGCCTACTTGTCGACCCTGCCATCCGGGCTTGTCCTTGCGAAGTAGGAGGCAAACACCACCAAAAAAACACTGAACTCTGACTTCCAAACGCTTTCCTTGCGAGTTGAAACTCAGCGTTCCGCCGCATTTATACAAACCAGCCGCAGGGTCGGGTGCTATGGAGGCCTTTTTCATGAATGAAGCGATAGAATAGAACATAACTGACAGCAGACTACTAAGCAGATTCTCGTGCCAGAAAACCCGCTCTGCTTTCCCAGGCTCCCATACCTGCCATACCTTACACCTCTATGCCTGGAAACCCTAGACATTGTGGTTCGTGCTCCCGAGGTTGATCGGCGGACTGACAGGCAGACTCTTCGGCCGCTGCCAGGAATCTCGATTGCTAAAGGGGCGAAGGGCTCAGGCTCCCCCACAGAGATATGCTTGAAACGGATCCGAATACTATCTTTGTTTTGATTCACGAGGGCATGGGCTTGTAAGCTTTTTTGGCTGTACCTATAACATCATGAACCGCGTCGAACCCCCAAAAACCAAATCCCGAAACTTGGACCTCCACAGCTCGGGTTTTGAGCAGTATAGCACAGCGTATCGGCGTATCTCAATACCCCAGCTTTTGTCTAAAATGTTGTCCCGGCAAGAGCGAACTCTGCCCTTTTTGACATGGGCCCTGCAAGGATAGCTACTTATTGACTCGGTCACTGTCTTCTGGCCGTCTGCCTTTACCCATATAAGCATGTACATGCTCTGGTGGAAAAAACTGGTCGAGTTCGTACGGGAGGAGTCGACGTATAAGCACCAGGGCCAGAGAGCGCAACATAATATAGGGGCCTAAATAGTTACCAATAGATTTTTGGTTGTAATTATAGTCGTATAATCTACTCCAAAACCCTATTCTAATGATGAAGGCCCCTATACGAAACAACAAGCCCCTGGGATGACTCAAGGGGTCTCAGTGAAGGAATATGAGGAGCTCGCTACTTAGGGCGTACATCTTAATGCCGCATTGCCTGTACTGCGAAGTGCGCAAACCTCACAGCGTTTCCCTAATAGCAGAGTAGGCGACCTTTAACCTTTTTTGAGCAGTATCGTCCCTATATAACCCCTATATAACCAAAAAGGTTAACCTTTACTTCCCCATGATACCCGACAAGTAGGTTTCAGGCAAGTCCGCAGACTTCGCCCCTTTCAAGAGCTGTTCAAGGCCAACTAGGCTCCCTGTTACAAAGAGCGGCTGGTAAAGGTCTGAATTCCGTCCAAGGCATCGCGATAACAAAATGAGGAAACCGCCATTAAAAAAAAACGCGTTGAGACTCTAGAAACCCTGAGCCCTTTACCCTAAGCCCATGACTCTTGACTCTACTTGAAGGGTCAGGCGACTTTGGGGATCAGGCACATCAGCTGTCAGCTATACTACAGGGGCTCAAGTATTTCATTACCAATACTAGTTGAGGGCTCCTTATTGTAATCATAGTATAGTGGGCCCCAAAGCCCTATTCTAATTATTAAGGCCCCTATTCTAGTTATATCTACTTGCAACCCCGTCAGGTACTAACTAGCATACTGGAACCCCGTGGTCCGTTAAGTAGAACTTGGACCCCAGACCCTCCACCCAGAACCCTAACGTAGGAACCTGATTAAGAAACCTTGGGCCTTTATTAGGGTTCCTTATGAATCCTACTATTTCGGGGTTATAGGCCCAGGGTTTCTTAATCAGGTTCCGACGTTAGGCACAAGAATCTGGACCCTAAACCCTGGAACCCTAAATCCCTTGAACCATAAACCCTAAACACCCTAAACCCTGGATCCTTATCCCTAAACCGTCAGCCATTCAGACTGAGGCATTGCTACTGCCGGAGGCATCCTTCACATCTTCCGGGATCTATGCGATGGTAGGCCGCGACGGTTTAATATTTCTGGAGATGGGTGGTTGTCGAAATGATGGTCCCTTTTTTGGGTACCCTAAATAATGGGTGCCGTATTATGATATGGATCCAGAAAGGGACCTTAATTTTGACAACCACCCAGATGTTAGGGAGTTAGGAGCCGGCGATGAAGGGTGGTTTTGGTTTAGGTTGGATTTGGTATTTTGGGGCTTTGGGCTTTGGGTTTAAGTCTTCGGGCTTGGGTGGGATTTAGGAGGTTCATTGCATTGCAGTGCGCGCTGTTGGATGCAGGGCTTTGGGCCACGGGGCTCGAAGGTTTCTGAGGTTTGGGCTCAGATATAAGGTCGTCGTCAACCGATCACCGTGCATGGCGGCTTTTGTTGGCGGTAGCACCAGCTCCAGAAGACAAAGCCCCATGCATGTTTTTAGAAGCACCCTGAACCCCCGCCCCCGAGCCGAATCGTTCTTGTAGTGTTGTAGAATGTTGAAAACATTGCATTGGTGGCCAGGCCGTTGATGTCAACACTTGGCATGGATCCTAAACTGTGAAGTAAATCCGTCCCTAATCGGAACAAAGAAATGGAGACAAGCCACCCCCAGACCTCTTATATATAATCTGGGACGTTTGTCAAGGCAAGTATGGGCGTTGTGTCTCAATGCTATGGTCAAGTTTGTATATACGATTTAGGTTTCTTGGGCACATGGGCTGCTTTGGGTAGGCATGTGACAATCAGAATCAGTTAAGCTTCTTGTAACTAACATGTTACAACAATTGAAGGGCTTGTGTGCGACTACCCACGATTCTTTCTCCAGTTCATAGATCCTCCAAAAGGCCCAAGGAGAGGGCTTAAGATGAAGAACAGATATGAGCTTTTCTAGAATTGTCCGTGCACCCGGTCACTGGCATAGCATTCTCCCCATGAAGGTGCTGCAGCAATGCTCTGCAGCTGCCCAACTGCAAGGAATGTGGAAGGTTATTAGCAGCGACTTTCTGACATAGATCTTAGTTGGGATTGTGGGGTCGCGAAAATTAGATGCACAGGGTTGGTGATCCTCATGACACGGACCTTACCAATCAATAGTTCCGATCTTTTGATATGCAGTTTCGGGTTCTGTGAAACTCGCATCTAGCGATCCGTTGTCGGAATGTCGACAAGCACCTTCCTGCGAACTCGAATAACCTCCACCTGCATGCTGCAACCCTGTACACCCTACATGCCCGATGTGCAAGTCCGATAAATCTTGCAAATCCAGCAGACCCTAGAACCAAAGGAAAAAAACAAAAGACCTACGCCTCATAAATCCTGTATGCCCCAAAACATCAACTCTTAACCCCAAACCTTACACACTAGACCCTAAACCCCTAACCCCTTACGGCTCAAGGTTTGGCTGACGGACAAGTTTGACCAAGCTCAGGCAGAACTCAAGGATTTGAAGCAGCAGGACCAGACAATTCGCGATGTCCAAAATTCAGTGGAAGAAGGTTTGGAGCTGCTCTATGCCATGCAAGCCACAAACGCAACCCAAAGCTCCACCATCGCTCGTCAGGTAGAAGGAATGAGGGCGTGGATGTGGTGGCGACGGTAGAGAGACCGATCCAGCTCGAGGCAGTCTCTCCTCATTTCAATCGCGCAGTTCCTCGGGGCTACAATGCTATTTCGTGACCTCTATGGAAGCCGAGACAGGGCAGGCCTTGAGCGGCAGATACGAAGTTGAGCCGCGCAAACTCCCAAGACGAATTTTGCCTGTATCACTACTTGACAGCCATTGTCACTGCACACGTATCCAGGCCAGGCAGAGGCATTTTCCTGAGGTGTGGCTTAGAATTGCAGTCGTAAGGCCAGAAGTGTAAGTACAGATATTGCGGTCGCGGCGAAGCAGTTTCCAAGAGTGACTCCGGGGTCACCCAGCTTCGCACAAGCGTTGATCGGCTCGCAGAGGAGAGCATGGAAGTCCAAGCCAGATCCAGCTCAAGGGAGTCATTGTCGACCGGGATGGCCTTCAAGCATGAGGTGTCAACCGATGAAGCTTTCGGATGAACAGCTGGTGGCTTGCGATGCAAAATTTGTTGAGGCATCGGGGTGCAGTCTGCGCTTGGGGTGAGCTCAGAGAGCCCCCTCGCAGAGCGGGGCGTTACAGTAGTCTTTCGCGACCCGATGCAGCTAGGCGCGGCACTAGGTCACTAGGTGTCGCGTCATCGCACCGCTAGCTACATGATATTTCGTGACCTCTATGGAAGCCGAGAGAGGGCAGGCATTGAGCGGCAGATACGAAGTTTAGCCGCAATTGCCGTCATACGGCCACAAGAGCAAGTACGGATACTGAGGTCGCGGAAGAAGTTTCCAAGAGTGACTCCGGGGTCACCCAAGCTCGGCACAAACTTTGATCGGCTCGAAGAGGAGAGCATTGGCAGAACATGCGGTCAACATACGCAGAGCTACGTTTTTTGTAAGACAAGCTCGCATTTCACAGCGGCAGAATGGCACCTCAGCTGAGCGACGCCTGTGCTAATTCGCCGAACATGCACAATTTCCAAGGCCCCACGTCAGCACCATTCTCAGAAAATTCGCAATCTGACGAGACAAAACCTGAGCTGAACGTGAACAAAACTGCCATGAAAGGGTATGCAGTTTTGACAAGTGAAGAAGAAAGTGTTCGGCATGCACCGCGAGAACGGAGACTGGTAAATGAGTAGGTTTCACCTGAGATTAGCCTGGGCTTAGGTTAGGTAAAGTTGTCGTAGATGCCATGCCAGCTTTCATGTGTACGCTACCTTTGGTGTAAGCCTGTTCTTGATGTGTTGTCAAGTAGGTGGCACGGCTGTAACCCTAGGCAGTCAAAGTACTACTGTGACACGATGTACTCTGTGGCCCTAACTTCTTGTTGATTGTTGCCTGTGAGTCGGATGCCTTCGAAGAGCAAATCCTTGATCGCTGTGAACGAGCAGCGACTCCCTTGAGTGAATTAGGATTAGCACGCTCGAATCCAGTCCTGAGTGGCCCTAACTTGGTGTTGCGCTGTGTTTGCATGCTTGGATTTGAGTGAGCTGGCTGTAGCAGTAGCAGTAGCACCGACGCGCACCGAGAACCTCGTCTGGCAAGTCCGAGTTGCGAGAGCGTTAACCCCTAACCCCTAAACCCTGAACCCAGCGAAGCCTTCAACCTAAAGTTGCATGCACTGAACCAGAGCTTTGAGGTCCGGCGGAATACACACATCCTTCCAGCTTACAAGACGGGGTCGGGAAAATTAAGTGTAGCATTTCCTTCCAGTCTCTCTATCGTTATGGTTACGCTTCAACAGAGCCCGTAAGGCCTCTGCACTGCTATTTCAGCCAGAAGAACCATAGGTTTCGACTATGAGACCATACATATACTCTAAATTCTCATGCGAGTGTGGTCTCGAGTTTAGGATAGGCATAGGGAGTCCGACCACTATTCATTTTCAACCCATGTTCCAGCTTTCTGAAACTCCCCGTAAATGTTTTCAGGCTTCAAGCACATGACCCTGGCTGTGGTTGTGTTCATCTGCCAGGCGCAAACATCCAGAACGCTTTGGTGAGGTTGCATGGCTTGTACAGGGCTGCTCCCTAAACCCAAACCTTAAACCCAGCAATTTACTTGCGAAGCAGCAAACTTGTCGGACTGTGACTGCTTTGATCAGCACTACCCACCTCGGAGCATCGTGCGCAGGTAATAGATGCATGATCCTGATTGCTGCTGTTAAAGTTCTACTGTTATCGGTAATTTTGCCGCATGTTGTTTGGGCCTTCCCTTCTTGAGCATGGCTATTGGCATTCCCGCCAGACTGACTGCCATCTTAGTCATGGATGCCAGAGTTGTTTGTCATATGTTGTCGTGGCCCAGGGCATTCTCTGAAACTCTGCTTCCATCGCTCTTTGAAAGCCACTCAGGAGCTTGAAGATTGTCTGATGAGCACCACACATTGACATTTGGAAAAGTTAGGCTTTGCTCACCAGACCAAAGGCGCTACAAGCCCAACTATCATAGGGGCATCTGTGATTAGCAGTACTGATTCGGTGCGGTTCCTTGAAGCCTTAAACCCTAAACCCTGACTCGTATTGAAACCCCCAAATCTCCTGCCCACGACCGTGTAGGGTTGGCTGAGGCTTCAGCGTTTCCCTGTTTGGAGCAAGTAAGATGTGGTTCCTGTGGTTGGTGTCTTTAGGGGGACAGCCAAGGGCAAAGCGGATCTGTAAGCCAGAAGCCCCCGATACACAACAAAGGTGATGGGCATCTCGTTCTCTCTTGCTCTCTCTCTCTTTCTCTCTTTCTCTTTGTCTCTGTATCTCACATTCTTATTCGCTCTTTCGAGTTTGCGGTTTGGGAGTTTGTGGTTGAGGAATTCTGAAGGTTGGGGTTGATTTGGGACCAGGTTCTCGGCTGCGATTAAATCCCTGCCCCTCACTGGGTCAGGCATCCAACAACATTGAACTGGTGCCGGTACTGATGCTGGCGGCACGCATGCAGCACTTATTTCGGTTTAGGTCGTATCTGCAGTCTACCGGTTCATCCTGTCCACGGTCACCGACGACTGTGTGTAATTGACACCGCAAGTATGCGAAAACGATTGGAAATGCAACGAGAAAACTACGAAATCCTTGAATTCGGAATCATGCAGTAGGAAACTTTGCCTGCTAATCGCAAACGCATTTGGTTTTCGTAAAATAGTACGGGTTTCTCAGGCTGCTGCCCAAACCGAGGTAACGGTGTCCCTGTTCGTCCATAAGATTATCGGATCTCCCATCGCTTTCGACGAGGCTTTGCGCAGCAATTCCAGCCCATGCAAGCTGAACTCCTGCATCCTACGAACACTGAGCCGTAATATAGGGGCCTTAATAATTAGAATGGGGTTTTGGGGCCCAATATCTTATAACTAAAATAAAGAACCCCCAAAATAGTATTGGTGATTATTTGGGCCCCTATAGTAGACACCCGGAACTGTCAAGAAGGACGGAGTGGTTCAGTAGGTACAGTAGTGATGGGGTGTAGGCTTGTTTAACCAATGCAGTTGACCTTGCCTACGCCCAAACCGGCAAGCACTAAAGTCCCAAACCCTAAAGCCTTCGAGCCGAGACCCACCTGCGAGCACCCCAATTAGATCCAAGTAGGGTCTGTCAGACGGCTGCCGCGGTTTCTGCTCGGGCCTTGTTCTTGCGAAGCCTTGTGGCACGCCCTGGAGTGAACACCTTCTTGAGGGTGTATGGGTATAAGCTTAGGGTCATTGGGGTGTAGGGTCTTTGGATTTCAGAATTATGGTTTTTCAGTTTCAGGGTTTAGGCTCTGGATTTCGGGCTTCAGTGTTTAGGGTGAAGGGTATTGGAACCCGAAGTTCTTGCAGAGAGCAAACTGAAAATCTGAGAAGCTTGCACCATCATAAGGCTAAGCCTAACTCAGGTAAATCGTCAATCCCAAAATTTTAATTTGCCCGAGATCCTAGACCCCAAACACCTCTACAATTTCAGACATACACCCTAAACCCTGCGACCTGAGACCCCTGCAAGGCGCAGATCTTGCGGAAGAAAATGCATTACCTCTCTGCAGAGCCCTGTAAACCGGCATCTCGGTGACAGAAAGGGGCTGTGGGTTTAGAGTTTTGGGTTTTGGGGTGGCTTTTGAATTGTTTTCGTAGGGTTTGGGCATAAGCTAGTCACTAGCAGCTAGTATGAGGATGTTTAGTAGCGACTAAACGGGGTTACATGACTGTGTATTTCGACCTGTGCCTCTGATGCCCAAACTCTGGCAAGGTTTCACAGCAACCCCCAAACCCTAAAACCCTAAGCACATGCACCCCTAAACTCTAAGCCTCATCTCAAGATAAATATGCTCTTCAGCCTGAGCCACGGCCCACGAGAGAATCCCAACCCTCCAAACACTCACATGGGCGGTTGTCAAAATGAGGGTCCCTTTTTGGGTCCCTAATATAATACGGCACCTAATATGTAGGGTACCCAAAAAATGACCCTAATTTTGACAACTACCCACATGTTTTCATCAAGTCGAGGACAAACCAGGCTTTAGGGCTTGATCTCTTGGGCATGAAAGTCTAAATCTAAGCCCGAAATCCTAAACCCTAAGCCACACTCTGCAGCTCAACCCTATCTTCGTGTTTTCATGTTGGTCTCAGGTCCTGAAGCTTTGGGTCCAGGGGAGCTGATAGATAGAACAAGAGTAGTTGAGTAGTCACCCATTCCGATACCCGGGAGTCCTTCGGAAGCCCTCACAGGCCAGACGTGGAGGCGAATGGCTTATGTAAAGGTTGCAGGCGATTAATGGCCATGTTCCCTGATAAGCCCTAAAAGCGAACCTGACAATCTGCACCAGGTGACCCTGACTTTGCAAGAAGTTCAGGGCGTCTGGCCACCTTCAGATCAGCATAGTTAAGTCAAAGCTTCAGGGCATCTCAGGACCGTCAGCCCCGCCTTCAGACTCCAATCGCTTTCATCCGTCGACGTCGCTTGAACTATAGCCCGATCATTCTTGCAGTGAGAGAACCTTACACAAGGGCTCCCGAGTCTCAAAGGGCACTCAACCCTGAGACGCTGAGCGCCTTGAAGCGTTTCAGGGCATAGGGTTTGGGATGTAGTATGTCTCAGATTCTAGAACCCTGCAGAACCTCTGAACCTCCCAAAACCCTAAACCCGCTCTGAGAAAAGCTCTAAACTCTAAACCCTGCAAACACTATTCTGTTTTGGACTCCCCGTCTACTTTGTTGTCGAAAGCTTAGTTCCCCAATACCCAACCTTTAAACTGTTTGGGTTCTTATAGTTTAGTAGTGACCAGAAAGTTTAACCTTCTATTTCTGTGGCTTATAGGGGAAGTAAGAAAAGGTACCCTCGTCAGGGATGAGGAATTGTGGGGGCTTGTGGGTTTAGGCAGTCTGTGATTTTGACATTGGGCTTAGGTGGTATACGGATAAGGGTTTTGCAGTGTATGGATAAGGGCTTCGAGATTTGGGCGGCTTAATGGTTTTAGTTAGGGTTTGAGGGCTTTGGGATTTAGCCCTTGTTTAGGGCTTGGGGTTAAATCCCGAAGCCGTAAATTGAATCTCCAACCAAAAGGTGTATCTCCTCGTAACGTATCAGGGGATTAAGTAAGTAATTAGGGTTATATGTAACGTAAAACCTGTTACACGTAGAATCAAGCATAGCTTCCTTACTTAAATCCCTTACAGTACCTTATGAACTCTTTCGAAACCCCTGAAGATTACCCTGTAAACGAAGCCTAGTCACCAAGCCCTAAACCCCCACAAGACCCTCACAAATCCCTAGCAAACCCCTAGCAGTCCCGACACACTTCGTCGAAACTGCGGTTAGAGTCTGGACACGCCTGCATTGTTACAGGAACACTTATAGAACCTCTTCGAAACTCGTAACGGAATCAACATCCTTCTCAGGTCCGGCGCTTGGCAGCTCGGCAGCTCGTCGACGACCTTCCCGAGCAGTCTCGTCTTCCCGCACGGCCGACGTCTGCGCAGGTTCGAAGGAATTTGAGGGATTTATGGGCCGTTGGGGTTCTATAAGGGTTTATAGGGTTCTCATAAACTAATAGCCCCAAACCCTAAACCCTAAACCCTAAACCCCCAAACCCTAAGTTCTAAGCTCTAAACTGATAAAGTTGTGGGTTTAGGGTTGACGCGTTTAGCGGCTTCCGGTTTCGGTTTAGGGTTGCAGGCTGTGAGGAGTCCAAGGGAGCCGACATACTTAAAGGATCATGGGACTTAGTAACTTTAAAGCTCCTTAAAGGGATCTATAGGGTTCCTTAAGGGGATCTATGGGGTTTAAAGCTTAGGGCCTACTTAAAGGATCATGGGACTTAGTAACTAGGGTTATTATTGGGGTAACTATACTTATTACATATAACCCCAATTAAGGGACTTATAACTGTAGTTACTAAGTCCCATGATCCTCCAAGTAAGGCTTCCGAGAGGAGCATGTTTGGCATTCTTTTCTACGCACTCTTTCCACGACGTCATGCTGTCCATGCACGGCCAAGCTGAAAATCCGCTGTGACGCTACAAGCCTCGCGCCGTCGGTATGATGGGAGTAGTACCGAAGTCTGCATCAATCATACTTTTTGCAGGTCCAACGGATACACTTTAACTCTTCGAAACTAGATCTTGCATGCAGATGGAAAAGAGCCCGTAAAAGTGAAACAAGTAGGAAATCCTCGAATTCGGATCGTGGTCATGGTCATCCGTGATGGTGATGCAGGTGGCGAGTATGACATTAGTAGTGACGGTTAGAGGTGATGGTGGGGATTCCGTTGATGTCATTGGTGATGTGGTTGTCGATGTTGCTGGTCCCCACCACGACAATGATGAGGATAAGGATGCCGATAAGGATGAGGACGGTGATCAGGATGAGGACGAGAGCCAGGGCGAGGATGAAGATGTGGACGACATTGGGTGGTGATGTTCATCATCACAGTTTCAAGCGGTGGTGATGGAGGTCTTTATGATCTCAGACAGGATGTGATGATGCTGGTGATGACAAACTGTTGTTGACGACGCTGTGGTGATTTGGAGGAGGAGCAGGAGCAGGAGCAGGAGCAGGAGGAGGAGGAGGAGCAAGAGGAGGAGGAGGAGGAGGAAGAGGAGCATGCGGTGGAGGAGGTGGTGCAGAGACCGTTGCACGATGATTGATCACATTGTGGATGTATTTGGCAGGGTTTCTGATTTCTAATCCAATCCTTAACATGAGATGATCTCACTGCCCAGCTACTTTTGGGGTATGCACCTGTGCTCGTCGAAATTCCCTGAACAGGTTGCCGAGGCGCTGCGCGAGACGCAGGCACAAGCCTTTCTTTGCCAAGAGGTGCGTCTTCTGAAAGGCGTATTTCCTGCGCCGCTAGCACAAATATTATTTCTGCCATCTCTTGTTTGCAGAGTAGCCGCGCAGATGCTAGTTAGCGTTAGGAGCGATCGGGCCGTGATCCCTTTGTAGGGTTCGGGGAGGAAGCTGGGGGGTTGGAGGCCAAAAATACCTCAACCCCAAATCACTTAAAACTCCCTTGAGGGGCAAGCCCGAAAATCGTTTAACCCTACCTGAACCCTGAATAACTTACCTTTTTAGGGTTCCTTATTGTGGTTTCTTCATATAAGTCCTTAAGACGCGCCTAAATTAAATTTCTTACCCCTTAACCGTAAACGAATTGTGGCCTTCGGGGATGGGTATCTTTGAGTTGGGGACCTTTAGGTCGTTTGGGGTTTTGGGCTTCAAGAGTGCTGACTTAAGCACCAGGGCGCAACAAGAGGCTTGCAACCCTGAATCCTGAAGCCTAAATTACACTCGCTTGTTTTTAGCGTCAGCCTGAAAGTGCAAATGCCTCAAGTGCCAACCAAGCGGAGCGATCTCACAAGGACGTGGGAGAGTGGCCTTTCGCAAGAAAGAGCGGCCTGAGGCCTCAGAGGCCTGACAGGGAGCTGTTGCAGAACCATCCAGCCCCCATGGTGGACTTCCTCCGTGGCGTCTTGAAGCCCCCAGCACGAGCTACGTGGCCTGGCAAACTTCGGTGGCGGTTGGCCCCGAGCTTCCGTCTTGAACTCGCTGGCGAAGGCTGCCTGGCAGCTGATACCCTGGGCCTTTCCTTTCTTGAACCCCAGCTTGTGCAGGAGCCCATTATACTATAATTATAAGGAGCCCCCTCCCAATAATATGCTGAAGCCGCAGCAAGCTGAGATGGTTTATGATGGCTTGTGGGGCACCTGGCCCGATGCTCCCTGAGCTCAGGACTGTCCGAACCTCTGAGCCCTTCAAGACCACCTGGCACCCGAAAGCCCCAAAATCTGAAGCCACACCTTAACCCCGCCCCCAACCCCAAACCTTACATCTCGCAAAGCCCTCGCAGCCCGGGAACCCTCTTCCTTACACCCTTAAAAAACACCAAACCCTTAACGGCGACACCAGCTCACCAAAAAAAACCTCGGTGCTAAACCGGATTCAAGACCCGCATAGCCGGGCATAGCCTTAATACTACGCCTAGTAGTAGAGCAGGCAACCTTTAACCTTTGTTGGGATAGTATAATCCTTATATAGCCCCTATATAATCAAAAAAAGTTAACCTTGAGTTCCCCATGATATCCGACAAGTAGGTCAAACTGTATCAGGCTGAGGTTCTTGGGAGGTTTTGTAACGTGGTTACACAGGGACTGATGTGGGAACCTGATTAAAAGAACCTTGGGCCTTTATTAGGGTTCCTTATATGGATCCTACTATTTTTCGGTCATAGGCCCAGGGTTTCTTAATCAGGTTCCTACAGTAGAATACTGCTGATTCTGCAGACAACCCTTCCAACTCGCAACTAAGAAAGGAATCTGAGAACATCTTCTTAGCCCCTGATGCACCCTAAAAGGGGCCCTAAGCCCCAAACCCCCAATTACAAACCCTTAAACCCCAAGCCGTTATAGACTTCTACATCTATAAATTTCTAGCCGGAGGCGCCCTTCTTACCAGTCTTCTCAGCACCAGGCGGTGAGTTTCGGGGCTGTGGCTTTGGGGGGGTAGAGGAGCCGTCAAAGGAACCCTTAGTGAACCCTTAATTGAAGAACCCGTTGAGGGAACCACACAGGTTTTGACGCTGTTGTTTTTTAGGTGCCTTTGGTACTTAGCGTGTACGATGTTTTTGGCGAGGGGTAGTGGATGTAGTGTCGAGGGTGGCTCTTGGAGTGGCTGTTGCCCTATAAACCTCAATCTTGCAGAATATGGCGGGCTCACCTGTAGGATGTTGGACTCAGTTTGCCTGGGCTGGAGTGTTTTAGGACTTTGGGATGCAAGGCTGGAAGTGCTCAGGTTTAATGGGAGCGGCTTTTGGCATTTGGGTTGAAGGGTTACTAGGCTGAGTCCTTCCGGGCTTTGGATTTTTGAAATTGATGGCGGTTGGGTGTAGGATGGGCCCTGCACCCCCAAACTCTACAATTCGAGATTGGCGTTTAGTATAAAGGGGCTTCCAGCTTCGGGGTGACATGTTTAATTGTCTTTAGCATCCCGGGTGAAAGAAGGGGTCTACAATTTATCGCTCGAAGGTTTAGTCCTTGGCTACCGTATGGCTGAGGATTCAGCTACTGTTTCTAGACGGTCGGAGTGTTTGCAAACCCTAAACCCTAAACCCCTAAACCCAAATCCCATTGTAGTCCCTAGAAAAGCTGCCATAATCGACCCCCAAACCCTTTTTTGATGATGGAGGCCCAGGCTTCTATGGGTTATTGGTTTAGGGTCTAGGGTTTTACGAGTTTAGGGTTTAGGGGTTTACGAGTTTAGGGTTTGGGTTTAGGGTCTAGGGGTTTACGAGTTTAGGGTTTGGGTTTAGGGTCTAGGGGTTTACGAGTTTAGGGTTTAGGGGTTTAGGGTTTAGGGGTTTACGAGTTTAGGGTTTGGGTTTCGGAGGTTGAGAGTAGAGGGTTCCAGGCTCCAGGTGCGCCTAACTCCAAACTCCAAGCGAACTTTCCGTGCTCCGTGATTTCCCAAAGCACAAAAACCAATCAACCAACAGAAACAGACCCTAAACTGACGTGTGGAGCCTTGCAAGCCTTGAGCGAGTGTGAGCGACGAAACTGAGACTGGCCTGGGCCACTAGCTTCGCCCTAAACTCCAACGTTGTAATCGGCAAGCCTTACATTGGGCCTCGTGTTCTTTAGGGAGTGCGTGGATGCCTCAGAAAGGCCATCACTAATGAAAAACTAAGATTATTTCACTTCTAACATCCCCACCCTAGCGCTTTGTCCTTCCTACACTCAAATCCTAAGACCTAAAGAACCCGAGCCTAAACCTTGAACCCTGGTGTTCCCGAGCACTCCAGGGATTCTCACGGTAGTCTGTGGGGTTGGGCACTCCAGGGATTCTCACGGTAGCCTCACGGTAGTCTGTGGGGTTGGGTCCTCCAGGAGGTAATCTCAGCGGGCGAGGAGTAATAGCTGACTTTAAATTCTATCAACCCCACATCGAGGATCAGCTAGCAAGGATAGGCACTGGCTTTAACGGTGACAATACAAGAATCTCGGTTGCAAGCAACAGTCTGCCCAAACGCAGTCGTCCCTTGTAACTCATCCGGTGAACCTCGCAAGGCGATGGCCCACGAAGGCCAGTCCCGTGCATGGCTGAGGGCTTTAAGGATTTTGTTGGGCATGTGTGTTTCAACACTAGGCACTGAAAGGGGTAAGGTCCTGCTATCAGCCGAAGTCTTTAAGGTACGTGCACCTTCCCAGGGTCCAAAATCATAAGTCGTGAGTGCGAAACACCAGGCGTTCCTGGCAGACATTGGCAATAGGCAATAGTGATTCTAATCGCCACTTCATTTAGTGACCCCTCATGTTGCTGAAATGCCCAGGCGTATTAGCTCAGCAGCCCTGCAAAACCAAGCCTGGTTTAGGGTTTAGGGCGGATCCAAACCTGTAACCTTGGCAGTTGCATTCCACTTGGGGTTATAAGTAGTTATAAGTACTAAGTCCCATGATCCTAAAGCCCCAAAAGCCCTAAAGCCCCAAAAGCCCGAAACCCCAAAACCCTAAGCCCTAAAGCCCCAACACCTTGTTCTGATATTAAGGCCCCTTTGCTAAACGAGAAGCTCTGAAGGTGTTTAGGGCTGGCCCCGCGGACGCGCCTGGATGCTGCTGTACGGGCTGCCGAGGGAGGTGCTCTCGGTTTAGGGTTTAGGGGCAGCTGTGAGTTTCAAAAGGTGATGTAAAGCTTCAAATATCAAGGCTTCATCGGTTTGCATAACGGCCTCAGAAGGGTTATCGCGTCTAGAAAGTCTTTATGAGTGCATTAAAGGGTTTTCTGTGGAGGCGGGCGAGTTCGAGTGCTTGCGTTTTCCCGTTTAGTGTTTTCGGGATTTGGGATCCGGAACGACGGCACCCGAGACCCAACCCCCTAAACCTTGAACCCTCTCCGGCTCGATGCCAGCTCATCCAGGCGTTGTGCCAGCTGACAGCTTGGCCGACCCTCCCAACATCACGCTCCTCCTCTTGCATTCAGGCTTTCGGGGTTTATGGTTTTTGTGTCTAAAGTTCAGTTGTGTGTTCCGGGTCTCCGGGTTTGAAGTGTCCCTTCTGGTTATAAAGATGAGTTTCTTTGTTATAGCGCGCGCCCGGGGCTAGAGTGTTCAGCAGAAGCCGGGCCCAAACTAGCCGGAGTCCGACCTGTATCACATAGGGGCTTCAAGACAAGATACTTAACAATCTAAATCAACATCCAAGCCTAGGGTTTGGCGGTTTAGGGCTTAGGGTTTGGACCATACACCCAAGACCACGTCTTCGAGGCTCTCTCTGATGATTTTAACTGCGGCCGAGATCTTGCAGAGTAGACACGAACTCGCTGGTGGTTGCTTATGGGAGCCCTCCATATTCTAGACTTGTACCCTATGTTACGGAGCACCCTCTAAACCCTTAGACTAGTAAAACCGCAATTACCGCGGCCAGCTCCGGCACAGGGGATTCCGATGTGCTCGGGTTGACCCCGTGACATGAGGCTACTTGCTAGGGTTGGTGACTGGATAACCTACTTTCAAACGCTCCTGCTGATCATTCGAAAATCGAGTCTCAGGATGATGACATGATATCTCCCAGCCAACATAAATCTGTAGCTTTATCAGCTACTCGAATCATCGAACTGTTGTGAACTTCCTGAATCAACCTCCAAATCTGCCTGCTGTGGGCTACTGGCGTTTATTGCGGTTCTGACCACAGCCGTCGGCATCGGTAGATTTCGGCAGGCCCAGACATTTGTGGGCTTCCTATTCAGCAGCTGGGTTTTTGAACTCAGTGTTGGGGCTTGCGCTTTGGGCTATGGATTGGGTTTGGGCACAAGGTTTTGTGAAGGCTGAGTTAAGAGTTCAAACGTTCAGGGTTTGGGGTTTAAAGTTCTCCGACAACCTAGGCTTCATGCAACAAGGTTTACAGTTTAAACTGGAGGCTGTGGTGTTGCGGTCTAGAGCTTAACAGGTCGCTGTCAGGACTCCCTGACTCATTTTGCCGGCCTTCCTTTCGGCTGAGCAGATGTTCCCTACTTCAAGAAGTATATAGACTTTGGCATGATAAAATCAAAAAGCGCGCCGTAGTGCCTGGCGGCCAGGAGCTTTCAAGAAAAACCTTCCTGTTTTGAATCTGTGGGGTGGGATGCGCAGTAACTCAAGTCCGTTCAAAAAGCACGCAACGCGGAAGCTGTTGCTTGAAAAACTCCGAAAGAGAGTATCCTGCACGTGCGGCACAGGATTTCCATGGAGGTGCGCACAGGCTGCGCGCGTTGGCTTCGGCAGTTTCGGGCTGCGCTGGGCAGCTTCGGGCAGCTTCGGGCAGCTTCGGGCAGCTTCGGGCAGCTTCGGGCAGCTTCGGGCAAAGGGCTGCCCGAAAGGGAAACCAGCTTTCGGGCACGTGCGCGGGCGGGAAGGCAGCATTCGGGCAATTCGGGCAGCTTCGGGCAGCATCGGGCAGCATCGGGCAGTAACGGGCGGCATCGGGCAGCGTCGGGGAACGTCGGGTGGCATGGGGCGGCGTATTTCGCAGCGCTTTGTCAGAAAATCCGCAGAAAAGCAGTGAATTACGAGTGGAACGGTGGCCACCAGTTGCCTTGTTCCTTCGGCTTCATTTGCAAGTTTTGAGCGTCCCGCAGCGCCGTCCGGCTAAGCCAAGAACCACCGCGTGGGTTCAAAACAGGCAGGTTTTGCTTCAAAGCTCCTGAAGCGACTGCCCACCAGGCACTACGGCGCGCTTTTTGATTTTATCATGCCAAAGTCCATATACTCTGAAGTAGGGAACATCTGCTCAGCCGAAAGGAAGGCCGGCAAAATGAGTCAGGGAGTCCTGACAGCGACCTGTTAAGCTCTAGACCGCAACACCACAGCCTCCAGTTTAAACTGTAAACCTTGTTGCATGAAGCCTAGGTTGTCGGAGAACTTTAAACCCCAAACCCTGAACGTTTGAACTCTTAACTCAGCCTTCACAAAACATTGTGCCCAAACCCAATCCATAGCCCAAAGCGCAAGCCCCAACACTGAGTTCAAAAACCCAGCTGCTGAATAGGAAGCCCACAAATGTCTGGGCCTGCCGAAATCTACCGATGCCGACGGCTGTGGTCAGAACCGCAATAAACGCCAGTAAACCACAGCAGGCAGATTTGGAGGTTGATTCAGGAAGTTCACAACAGTTCGATGATTCGAGTAGCTGATAAAGCTACAGATTTATGTTGGTTGGGAGATATCATGTCATCACCCTGAGACTCGATTTCGAATCATCAGCAGGAACGTTTGAAAGCAGGTTATCCAGTCACCAACCCTAGCAAGTAGCCTCATGTCACGGGGTCAACCCGAGCACGTCGGAATCGACCCTGTCACCGTTGGCCGTGGTTTTGGCGGTTTTGCTACCTTAGACCAACCCCTAAGTACCTGGAAGTCAACTAGAACTTGAGGTTGGAGACCCCGATGTAGGCTCGTGGTTCGGGACAGAGTTTAAGGCTGCGGGCTCCGGGTGGGAGACAAGGATATGTAGTTTGGGATGCATCGCTCTGAGCACCCTTGTTGCTAAAGATGACTTTGCAGAGGACCACGCCATATATCACAACGTCCAAACCCTAAACCTGAACCCTGGCAGCCTCTAAGGTTTGGGGTTTTGGGGTTTGGGGTTTTGGGTTTCATGTTGAGGGACCTGAGACAGACCTTGATGGTAGATCGGCTTTTCGCCCGTGAGTGCCATGGTGATACGGTGGATGATATAAATCCTGCATTACCCATAAAAAGGCATTTTCCATAATTTCCATAGTTTAGGGTCATTAAGGTAATGCAGGATTTATATCATCAACCGTAGGATCTTTACTAGAAGGACTTCGAAAAAATCCGAAAACGAGCGGAATAAGTAGGCGGCGGCGAAAGGCTCCAAGCACGTGTTAGAAACTCAAGTTTGTAACCTGACGTAAACACGAGACCAAGTTCAGGTTGAGAGTTTGAAAGTTTAACGTTTAGTAGTACGCGCATCCAGGGCCCAGAAGAGTACACATCTCATCTGCCGGGCCTACACAAGACCCTGAGGTGAGACTTTTGTGGTTTGTCGATTTGGCTGGTGGGTTTAGGGTTTAGGTGCAGGGTTTTTTTGCTCAGAACTTGACTTGGGGCTCGAATCTAAAGCTTATTCGAAACTTAAGCCCCGAACCACACCTTCAACAACTGCAAATACTGATGAGACACTGATGAGATTTATGATGATCTATAAAAGCTCCGAAACCCTAGCCAGAGGCTTTAAAGTAGTTCCTTTTTGGGATTACCTTATAGGATTCTATATACGAACCCCAAAAAGGAACTACTTTGGGGCCTTTGGGAAAGCCTAAGCCCAGGATCCAGGCGGCAGCTCAGCCGCAGTTTGTTTGACCTATGTCAACTCCCTCTACCCAGAGAGCCCAATACCCCTTAATTAAGGAATACTCCTTAAATCATATTGAGGATCCTACTATAGTTTAAGCTATATTCCTTAATAAAGGGGTATTGGGCTCTCTGGGTATTTGTCCATGCCAAAAGCCAGCAGAAACCAAATGTGCTGTACAGTGTCTTTCGTGTTGTGGATGCTATAGGGCGGACACTATTGCGGGTGCTGACATGGACATTGTGCATGGGGTCGTCACAAGAATCCAGATTTCAGTTTCTGGAAGGCTCCGGCCTAGGCGATTTCAATTTTTTTTTGGGCGTGGAGCTCTTGAGGCAGAGAGGCTTTGGCGCTGTGAGGGCGGCTCGGGGTGTATACGTGTTTGGTTTCAGGCTCCAAGCGTGGGGTCTAGGGAATCTTGCTTTACCTTCAACTTCTTTGTTCCCCGACTACTCAGCTGGTCCATGGGTTGTAGTCAAGTCGGTTAGAGCCATAGGCGAGGTGACTACAGTTCGTAATGCTGGCAACAACCAGTGATAGTTGCAGTATGACGCAGAACTCTCGATTTATCTACAAATCAATGCGAGAGGGAAAAATCTACAAATCAACCCTTACGTCACGCACTGCTCGTTGAGAAGACACCTTTGACAACTCCGATCGGTTGCAGCACATGTTTGTTCAATCGCAGTCGGCGGACGTTTGCGCCCTTCTTTCGTGTCGGCACGCCAGATACCGTAAATGGGAACGTTTTGTCAACAAGGGGCCGTTGGATTTGAGTGAGGATCAGGCTTTCGGGCTTTTGTGGGTCCTTGTCCTTATGAAAACTCCCCTCGCTGCATGCACTTCGCAGGAGGTAGAGTTTGAAGACCCGCAGAGAGTAACTATGGAATACCAACCTGAACCCTAAACCCGACTCAAACCCTACGGAACCTACTCTTCTTGGGTGCTAACCCTTGCGTGGAAAAGCGAGTTCAGGGTCTCACGGTATGCCCCCCCAGCTCAGGACGCTCCGGCCGACGCTTTCTACGTGCTGTTCGCGAAAGCCCAGCTCAGAGCTGCTTGCGTTCTTACCGCCTCTCGTCTCGAATTAGCCGTGTACATCCGAGCACCCTCCTAAACCCTAAACTTTGTGAATCCTTGAACCCCTAGGGCCCAGAAACATCAAGTGACCCTGTTTTTCGGGAGTTTTTAGGACGAGGTCTGCGGGTCTAATCCTGAAGGCTGCACAAGATGAACGGTCTGGAGCTTCCTGCGCTCTATTTAGGGTTTCGGGCTTAGGGCTTAGCGGTTTAGGGTAAGTCCTGATGCAAAAAAGGGTTTAGGGGTTTAAGCTGTCTCCCGTCACACGCACACCCACACACACACACACATCGGCTTCAGTACGGGTTCCAAACGAAAGGGTTTAGAGGTTTAGGGTTGGGGGGTCTAGGGCTTGAGTCCAGCGGGCACACACAGGGGTTTAAAGGTCTAGATGGGTTTAGGGTGTATAGGGGTTTGGATGTTGAGTATACCAACTTCCCAGCTTGCCGTGAGTGTGTGCTACCGAAGACCTAGCCCTGAGTTTTCTGCTACCAAGCTGTGGGGTCGGGATATGGCAGGTAGCTGTCACGTGGAAGTTTTAAGTAAGCCAACTTAAAGGATCAGGGGACTCAGGAAGTAAGGTCATGAGTACCCTAATCGGAGTTATAAGTATATATGGTTACCTTATTTGTTATAACCCTAGTTACTAAGTCCCATGAATCTTTTTTTTTGTGCCAAAATGTGGGCCTTACCCCTTCTTTTGCAAAGGCTAGGGGCCCTAGAGCCCATATGTTAGAAGGGGCCCCCACCCTGTAATAGTGCTATACTAGGAATATAATAGGGCCCTAATATAATCCTTATTGTCACTAATACAGGGTGGGGGCAGCTTCTAACCCATGTGAATTTAAGCCGTGACATCCTAGAGAGACCTCCAAACCCGAATCCTTCCATGCCTCAAATCCAAAACCCGCCCTAAACCCCTGAATCCGAAATCTGGGACCTCGCCTGGATTGTCGGAGTGTGAGCTCCGAAATCTGGTAGTTTCCGAAATTGGGGGACCTTAATATAGTACCCCAAATAGTAGGATCCTCTTTATAAGAACCCCAAAATTAGGCACCCGCTCATTTTCGGAAACATCACGACCCAGGCTTCTGGCGACTATTACGGTGTCATCTCCCGTGCAGGCACGGCTTCGGACTTGGGGCTTGATGGGCTCAGGGTTTAGGGTTTCGGGTTCGGGGTTTAGGGTTTAGGGTTTAGGGTTCAGGGTTTATAGAAATTGTTAAGGGTTTGGGTGCCAAAAACATTTTGGGCGAAACGTTTTGAGCAGGTGCAGGTTTTCTGACCGAAGCCTGATTCTGGATTCAACGCGCAAGGTATCTCGACATTGCCAGCGTTTGCTCGGGACGCTTTGGTCAAAACTTATTGGCACCCAGACCCTTAACTGCCAGCCCCCCCCAGCCCCGGCCCTTGCCCCAAGGTGCAGCCCAGCTCCAGCCCCTAGCCCAGCACCGAGGCCCCTCTCAAAAAATTCAAAATGTGGCCGACAGAGGAAATGTGCTTGGGCTGGCTGGGGCTGGCAGGGGCCGGGGGACTGGCTGGCTGGCTGGCTGGGGTGGGGTGTGGGGCTGGGCTGGGCTGGCTGAGGGCGCAGTTTTGTGAATTTTGGGATTGGAACCTGCTTTGAAATTTTGCAGAGTTTTGTAACTGGAACCTTGTTTGGAATTGGGAAAGTTTTATGACTGGAACCTGGTTTGGGGCTGGGTTGGGCTTGAAAGTGACGGTTTAGGGAGCTCAACACCAGCAGCGACAAGCAATTTCTATTTATTTCTTTCTTGAGGGTTTAGGGTTCAGGGTCAGGGTTTAGGGTTTAGGGGCTTAACCGGCGGACGTTATGGTGGAGGAAACCCTACAGTAAACCCCGCCCCCATCTCGGTTCAAGAGGGAATTGAAGAATTCAGCCGAAGATGGTGGAAGTCAGCTGATGAGCCCAAAACTGTTGGTTAGATTTTAGGATTCTGGCTTTAGGGGTGTAGGATGATCGCAGTCCCTGCTCAAAAAAAGGGGTCTAGGATGCCCTAAATCCCAAAGCCATGTGACCGGGTTTCGTCGATTACAAGTCCTAGTTGGGCTCGCAGCCGAACGAGTCGTGTGAGAGTTTGCACTTCTGACGTGTCTAGAAGAAATCGGAGTCTTTGCATCTGCAGTCAGCTGAGGGCTTGGACTTTCACACAGGGGCCCTAATAATTGGAGCAGGGTTAGGGGGTAGGTTACTATAGGGGATATATAATTACCTAAGCTAATTTGGGGGGTGCCTTATTCTTGGTATGGACTTCGATTTTGGGAGCCAGGGGCGGTTGGGCCTTGAGCTAAAGCCCTAAGCTTGGAGGCCCTAAACCTTAATGCTTAATTCCTGACGTCCTAAGCCAGTTCAGGGATTATGTATCACCATTTATCACTCTGATTACCAGCGGAAAGCATTCAAGCAGTGTCGAGTTCAAGATAGTTGGAACGCCAGCTTGTGCCTCAGGGGGTAGGGTTTAGGGTTTGCTGCATCGTTGAACACGACAGAACCCTAGCAGGCCATCGCTACTCGCTTCGCATGCCTTTCAGAACCTAATCTTCTGGCACCCTAAAGCTTGGAGCCCCCCAAAATATCCCCAAGCTCCTTAAACCCTGAACCTTCTTGATACATATTGCAACCAACTCAACGCTGACCCGAAGGGACAGCTGTGATGCCTGCAACCCTTCGGCCGAAATTTTGGGATGAAACTGCTGTTCACCTCGCGACACTTGAGCGGGCCAGCCACGTTGAATACATGATGCTTGCTTGAGGACAACGATGAAGCTATCACTTGAAAGTCTGTGAATTGAGTTAAATTGCCTTTGAGTTGTTAAAAATGGGTTGGCACTTTGTAGCTTTCATTGATCTTGTGCTTTCTAGCTAAACCACCCTTGTGGTTTGGGGGCTGGAAGGCTGAAAGAGACATAAAGAGACTTCACCGGAGCCTGAGCTGGTGTCTTTGATTTTTGGCCGAATCATGCGCCAATCGTTGAATCTTCGATGCTGAGACACTGCCAGCTGCGAGCATCGAAATGCTAAAGCTGAAAGCCTTCAACAACCCGAACGTCCACCCTAGTAGTAGGGTAGGCAACCTTTAACCTTTTTTGGGTAGTATAGCCCCTATATAGCCCCTATATAACCAAAAAGGGTAACCTTTAGTTCCCCATGATACCCGACAAGTAGGCCACCCATTCCAAAGCCAGCAGCTTTCGATCCTCGCACTCCTAGAGAGCTCAATACCCCTTAGTGAAGGAATATGGCTTAACTTATGTAGGGCTTCATATTATGACTTAAGCTATATTCCTTAATTAAGGGGTATTGGGCTCTCTGGGCTTGTGGTGTAGGATAGCGATGGATAGCGTAATTCCTCTTCGTTCCACAAAACCCCGAAGCCCTACTGTCCCAAAGGATTCGGAGGTCTGAGCTGGCAAAATGCCCCCAAATCGAAACAAATAGCTCCCCAGAAGTCTTTCTTTCAAGGATGTCCGTGCCTTCTGCCTTTGATGACTTCTGCCTTTAGTTTGTTTGGAGACTTGGTACTATTTCATCGGCACATTCTTGGAAGCGTATCACCTCAACCGACCACGAACCAATCACCTCGCCTGGCTTATCTGAGTATGAGAGCCGAACCCGAAATGTCTAGGGTTCTATGGTTTAGGGCTTAGGGTTTAGGGTACCCTAAGGTGACTGAGGAAGGCTCTGCCCTAGAGCTTCGCTGCCGGCATACACTCCAATTCGTGCTTAAAAAGGGTTTAGGGTACCCCCCATGGTTTGTGCTAATCACGTTCCGGGCATTTGGAGGCCTCGCGAAGACTGCGATGGCCTTAGAGGAGGGCATGGAGCTGGAGCCTCTCCAGGACGGCTAGCAGGGCGTTTGGGGTTTAGGGTTTTGGGGTTAAGGCTTGCCGGCACACACCCAAAGCCCGTGCTGAAAAGGGTTAAGGCTTTGTGAAGGTGTTAATAATAATGCGCAAAGAGCCTTTGTGAAGGTGTTAAATAATAATGCGCAAAGAGCCTTAGCAAGTTAGAGCTTGTTTACAGGATCTGGAAGCTTAGAACCGCGAAATAGACCCTGGCAGAACTCATAGGTGGAGGATACCTGTCCGGGGTTACAGGTCGAGGGAAACGAAATCAGGGTTTTGTGATGAGTTCAACATAGCACAACACAGAGCCCCTAAAGCACTTCCATGATGCTTAGTTAACTGGAAATAGTACATAAGTTCTCGTGTGTCTTGTTTTATGAAACCACATGCGTGTATTCCCTGTGTATGTATATATATATATATATATATATATATATATGCATATACAGGCGTTTGTTGTTAAGTAAGTTTGGTTTACAAACGCACCTTCAACTCAACAAACTCGAGTCCGGAAACACAATGGTAGTTTCACCAAATGAAGAAATCGATCCAGAAAACTTAACTATAATCCCGTCCCAGTACTGTTCTACTCTACGACCTTACTACTGCCGACCCCCCACCTCAGTAGTCAACCGTCCCGTCACGGTCCGGGGTCTGAAATCAACCGATATTGTTATTGTAGTTGTAACTGAAGGTAACGGTAATTATCAACTGCAATTATGTCGTCTCGCATTGCGTTGTGTTGTATTGCATTGTATTGTATTCTTATGGTATGCGGTGGCATGGTAAGAGGCGAAAGGTAACGTAGAGTCGTAGAGGTAGAGGTACTGTAGTGAATGTAGTATACCGCAGTGTCATGTAATGCCATGTGACGCAATGTAACGCAGCATAATGTCGTGTAATGCAATGTAATGTAACGTATCGTAACGGAATATCATGCATGTAGCTTTATCAACTTTTGATGAGTGCTGCTGTGGCTTCAGGAGGTCGCCACAGAATCTGGAGACGACTTTTCGGAGGGCTCCGAAACCGATTCGGAGAGCGACGGTGAGAGGGAAGCTTTGGGAGCAAAGTCGTGCAGGAAAGAACCATCGTTTCTACACATCTGACCCAAAAAGAAGGGGGCAGAGCTTTGTGTGCAGTGCAGTGACATGAGCAGGCGGAAGTGTGACTTGACATTCATCCACCTGCTTCGGACGGCACGGTCAGCACAGCATGGCAAGATGAAACGTCCCTGCCTGAACCGAAGCATTTGGGTTCCCAGGAAGGTTCCGCCGTCGTTGACATTTCCAATTCCTGCGCGGGCCGAGAGCGTAGAAGCCATGTCTTGCTGCTGCTGTTCGTGCATCGACACAGGGTCCGTCGGCGTGATTCAGAAGTTCGGGGAGTACCAAGGCTTGCAAGAGCCGGGATGCAGCTGCATTTGCTGGCCGTGCACGACCGTCTCGGGTGTCTCCCTGGCCGTGAACCAACTCACCTGCAAGTCGGACTGCAAGACCAAGGATAATGTGACGGTTGTTACGGTGACGGCCGTGCAGTACCGAATCCTCAAAGATATGGTGAAGGTGGCAACATTCGACATCGCCAGCCCGCACGATCAGATCAGAGCCGAAGTGGACAACGTCTTGAGGTCTACCATGCCCACCATGACCCTCTGCCATAGTTGGGTAACATGTTACATGTTGATGGGTACAGGGAATAAACCAGTTTTCATGTTTAATACTATCCCAACCCTGCCCACCAGGACTCTCGACGAGAGCTACGAGGCCAAAGAGAAGATGGTGGCGGAGATCTTGGAGTCCGTAAGGCAAGCCATGGGCCAATATGGGAGTTTCCGAAAATCAGGGGTACCTTGTTTTGGGGTCCTTATAATAAGGATCCTACTATTCAAAATCTCGGGTGCTATATTGGGTTCCGTAAGGCAAGCCATGGGCCAATACGGCTATGAGATCGTGAACGTCCTGATCACCGATATCCATCCCGAACAGTCTGTGCTCAATGCCATGAACGACACTCAGCATCTGAATTAGTAACGAATAAGAACCCTAAACCCTAAACCGTAACAACAATGAGCTATGAACCCCTAGAACTGAAAGTTTAGGCGTTTTTGCCGGCTGAACTGGCCCCCTGCACCCCAAGCTGTTGGGGGCTCGTGAACTCCCAAGCTCTTCTTAACCCCTGAAAACCTACCCTAACTTAGCCCTCCACCCCTGAACTCCTAAACCCCCTAAACCCTACGCCCCTAAACTCCTAAACCCCTAGACCCCAAACTCGCCAGCTAAGGAAATCAACGCCTCACGGAGAATGCGCGAAGCAGCTTTTGAGAAAGGTGAGGCCGACAAGCTTCTCAAGATCAAGGCGCAGAATGGGGGTTTATCGGTTGCAGGGTTTAGGATTTTAAGGTTTCAGAGGCCCAGCTGATCGGCAGAGTCTGGGTTCAAACAAAGGTTTCAGAGGCTTGGATGCAAAAAGTGTGTCTGGGTTGGGGATAGGTTTAAGTCTGGCAGCAGTGCTGCTTCCCAGATGATTGTGTCTGCCGGGGCTGCTTCCCAGCTGATGCTAGAGTCTGGATCCAATCAGGGGTCAAAGCTTCTTAGGTCTTGGTTCTTGTGCTTTAGGGGGTTCAGGGCTCTAGACTCTTCGAGCTTGGCTGGTGTGATAGAACGTTTTTGTTCCAGTGTAGGGTTTCAGACTAGGGTTGCCGGATGTACTTGTTTTTTTTCAGGGTTGGGCTTGGTGTGGGATGCCTCTTGTCTTGTCATAGTGTGGGATGCTGACGGTGGATTCCCGGCTTGAAGCTGAGGGCTAATCTTGCCCTCGATAGTCTCTGGCCATCTAAACTTTAGGGTTTTAGGGTTTAGAGTAATCTGTTCTTGAAGCTCGTTATGTCATTCGCTGTGAGGTATCTATTCTGCACGAAGAAAGTTGTGACGAGTGCTTGCACTCCTCTGATACCACCTCTAGGATAGTTCCTTGCCGTCCCGAGAAAAATTTCCCTGAGAACATAAAGACCCCGTTCATGCTGCTTCGATTTAAGGGATGCGTGTTGGGTTCGTGTTGATGAAAGAAAACATGTGTATGAATGAACACAAGAGCGCACGCGTGCAAACGAAAACATACACACATATATATATATATGTATATATATATATATATATGTTCTTTCGTTCGTTCGTCCACTCCCTCATTCAATCATGCATTCCTGCCCTTCCGAAGTGCGTGGCGAGGCCTCAGAAGCTGATGCCGAAGCCAAGCGCCTGGCCGGCGTGGGCATGGCCAACATGCGTGCGGCCATGGCGCAGGGGTTCCAAGACTCCATGAAGTTCATGAAGGTGCTGCTAATGATATATGAATACAAAAGTCTTAATTCTTAATAACAATATAGAATAAGCTCTGTATATATATATATATATACATATACAGTAAACCCCATAAAGTTGGAAACCGGACCAAGGCCAAATAGTGCCGGGATTCCCTATACATTACTCTTAAGGGTTGAGGCTACTGGGTTTCCAACTTTTGGGCTTCTACCATATACATATGCATATACCAGTGAAGGAGAGTGGCATGAACGAGAAAGAGGCGATGCACATGATGATCATGACCCAGTGCCTCCTTCTGCACACAGCGTCGCTTTTTTCCATTGCCCTGTAGCCCCCTAGGGATGGCTTTAGGGTTTAGGGTTGGCTTTAGGGTTTAGGTTTGGTTTCGGGTTTAGGTTTCTTAGGGTTTAGGGTTGGCTTAGGTTTTGAGGTTGGTTTAGGGTTTAATGTTTAGGGTTGGCTTAGGGTTTAGGGTTGGATTAGAGTTTTGGGTTGGTTTAGGGTTTAGGGGTTTCTGTTCTCTAGTTCTAAGTACCCCCGGCTTCTGCTCTGTGATGGTGGAGGTATCTGGACACCTTGAAGGAGTTTGCTGGCAGCCACGGCTCCATCGTGGTCCCTCATGGGCCCTCGGCTGTCGGAGATCTGCAATCGCAGATTCGCGAGGGTTTTCTCTCTGCTGCCGGTCAACAACAAATGAAGGGCGGCCTTTTCGGATGAGTTTCGTTGCAATTCCAGGTGTCGCCGGCCCGGATTAAATTCCCAAAGCGCCGCTTCACAGAATTCATCGGTCCTGGCTAAGGGTTTAGGGTCCAGCACATGGGGTCTGAGATTGAAGGTTTGCATTTGACCTTGATCTGCAGCAAGTTTGGGTTGAAGCTGTTTGGACGTTTCAATTCGGCCTTGAATGCCGGACGATAGTACTCGGACAGCCAGGTGCGTATACTTGTTTTGCAAGCTGCCTCAGTCGAAACGGCAGGGGGTCTTTGCCACTTGAAATTCGTTTGAAATTCTGAGCTTTTGCCTCTTCGACGAAGACCGTCGACACAAGATGGCACGATATGGCACGAATACATTATTAAAAATTGTTCTTTCGGTCTCGGGTCTGATTCTTGTTGAAGTCAGTTTCTATCTATCCAGAGTTCAGGTTTATTTGTTGACTTTGACTATATTTTTCTTGCAACGACCGTGAGACGACCATAACATTACGCCGTGGCTTTGCGTTCCAAACCACTCGCGAACCCATGCGTTAGATGAGAAACGAAACCCAGAGACTCCAATATCCCTTAACTAAGGAATATTCCTTAAATCATATTAGGGATCCTACTATACTTTAAGGTATATTCCTTAATCAAGGGGTATTGGAGTCTCTGGGAAGCTTCTTACGGCCGCGGAGCGATCGGACCTCTCGTTGATCTCGTCGGTGCCTGGCCTCCAGACTTTCGGCGGCATAGGTATTGATATTGAAACGGTATCTTGTTCAACCATACGGAGGGAGGAGGGAGATAATAATTTTCTGTATTTTGTTTAA